GGTCGGGTATGACTTTTGTAGGGCCTCGGTTTACTGATGGTGCCAGGGATATATGCGAATCTGCCAGGTCTTCTTTAGTTTGTGTGTGCCTGCAGGACAGAATAAAACAGAATAAAATTATATATATATCTCACAGAATATTTTTCAGCCATAAATAGGAATGAAATTTTGTCACATGCTACACACAAATTGGATAAAACTTGAAAACATTTTTACTAAGTGAAACGGCCAGACACAAAAGGACAAATATGAAGTGTCTAGAATAGTCGTATTCTTAGAGACAGAAAATAGAAAGGTAGTTACTGGGGTTGGGAGTGTGAAGAGGAATGGGAGAGGTGGGTACAGTTTCTAGTTTTTGTTTGGGAAGATGAAAAAGTTCTGATGATGGTGGTTGCACAGTTATGTGAGTGTACTTCATGCCACTAAACCTGTACAGTTAAACGTAGTGAAAATGGTAAACTTTATGTTATGTATATTTTGCTACAATAAAAAATTTTTGAAAAGAAGGAGTAAGCCAGTGGTGTGATATCTACATTTGAGAGTTTGTGAGGTGAATACAGATCACATTAGAAGAGAATGCCCCCTTTAATAGAAAAATTTGGTCATGGTTTCCTGTCTGGGACTGGTGGTGAGTGTGGCTGTTACTCTCCTTGACCATGGCCCAGAGTTCCTCTTGCTTGAGAACGTGGTGCACCACTTCAAGTACCCCTGTGTGCTGGACCTGAAGATGGGCACCCGGCAGCATGGGGATGACGCGTCCGCGGAGAAGGCGGCCCGGCAGATGAGAAAGTGCGAGCAGAGTACGTCAGCCTCACTGGGTGTCAGGGTCTGTGGCATGCAGGTGAGTTGCCCCTGGTGAGAGCCTCGCTGCCGCCGCCTGTGGGGCTTGGGTGGCCCGCGTACCTGCCTGCTCCCCCTGCCAGGTGTCCTCCTGGCCCGCAGTGGTCCAGAATCTCCTCCGAGAGGGTGAGTCCCAGGAGCCTCCACAGGGTTCCCTGACCTGTCTTGGCCTTGCCCTTTGACCTTAGTCTGGGCTCCAGATCCAGAGCCTCTGTGAGAGCCTGTTGCCTTGACATTGGGATGAGTCAGACTGGTCAGTACTTTCCAGACAGTGCCTGCCCAGGGCACTTGAAGGTCATCAGACCTTCAGACTCCTGGTGCTCACCCGCTCTGTCTCCTGGGCTTTCAGGTGTACCAGCTGGATACAGGGCATTACCTCTGCAGGAACAAGTACTATGGCCGCGGGCTCTCCATTGAAGGCTTCCGCAACGCCCTCTATCAGTACCTGCACAACGGCCTGGACCTGAGGCGTGACCTTTTTGAGCCCATCCTGAGCAAACTGCGGGGCCTGAAAGCTGTGCTGGAGCGGCAGGCCTCCTACCGCTTCTACTCTAGCTCCCTGCTTGTCATCTATGATGGCAGGGAGTGCCGGGCAGAGTCCTTCCTGGACCGCCGGGCAGAGATGCGTCTCAAGCACCTGGATACAGGGCTCTCTGAGGGGGCGCCGCCCTGTGGTCCCAGCACCAGCCCCAGTAGCACCAGCCCTGAGGCTGGCCCCTCCTCTCCACCCAAGGTGGATGTCCGCATGATCGACTTTGCACACAGCACGTTCAAGGGCTTCCGGGATGACCCCACCGTGCATGACGGGCCGGACCGAGGCTATGTGTTCGGCCTAGAGAACCTCATCAGCATCATGGAACAGATGCGGGACGAGAACCAGTAGGCCCAGCCCTGGGCCCCCAGAACCCCTTCCTCTCCACCCGCAGGCAGGGACCATTGCTCTGACTGAACTCGCCGTGAGGACACACAGACTTGCTTTTAAAGGGTTATATTTCTCTTTGGTGTAAACTAAAAGAAATGTTTTTAGCTGTAGCCTGGAATCCATATATATAAAGTGAAGGAGGGCACAACACACATCCTCTCAGCCAGGCTCCTCTAGCTCTATGGCTCTGACTGCTGTGTCCAGGCTGACTTAGGAAGATGGATGGTGGATGGGCCTGGCAGCAGGGACAGGGTACCCTTGGACATTGGTTTCTCTTGCCTAGGTCTTTGGCGTCTGTGGCTGCAGGGCCTTGCTGGTTTTAGGGTGAAGCCCTGGGCTGGTGCAGAGCCCCTCTGTGCTCACTCATCCCTTGTTCCTTACCAGTAGAGGACTGGGTGCCCATCTGTTGGGGGACTTTCTAGTCTGGTGGCATGGGCCTCAGCCAGCTTTTTAACACATGCCCCCCGGGTAGCACAGGGCCAATTGCACACTGCTGGACCCATCCTCGATTCTGACCTTGGCGTGAGGAAGCTGGGCTGAGACCAGCTTATGGCAGAGGGCAGGCCCTGGGATCCCCAGGCACTCTTTGGCACTTGAACCTGCTCCTCTTCCTGCCTGCACACCCCAGCCAGCCTTTCTTAGCAAGATCCCTTGCCTGAGGCGGCCACTCCTTCTTGCCCCACTGAAGGGTACCTGCTCTGTTTGCCGAGGAGAATCAGTGTTCCAGCAGGCCTCAGGGCCTCCGGTGGCTCTGGCCTAGACAGTATTTGCAGTTCTTTTGCTGTGGGTGGGAGACTCCTTCCTCTAGCTTGGGCAGCTGTGCTGCCTCTGGATGGGCTGCCCTTCGCAGGGCTCAAGGGCTGTGGTCCGCTCAGGGTGTCACCTTTCCCCAGGCTAAGCTCAAGGCAGCAGCCCACGGTGAGGAGCTCCAGCCTTGTGAGGGAGAGCTTAAAGCTTGTGGGCTCATAGGGACATCGTTTGGACCTTGGGTTGCAGGTGTCCAGATTCTGCTAATGAGCTTGGTCTCATCAGTCCTGGGATCCGTCAGTCTGTCCATTTGTCCATCTGCCAGCCCTTGTCTCTTGAGATCTTTTTCCAGGGCTGTAGCCTTGTTCATTAGTAAGTACTGATTTGTGTCATGCCATTTCTGAGGTGAGCTTTTGCCCCTGTGCCTGTTGTCAAGGGGTGCTACCTTTTTACAAAGAACTGGTAGCAAGTGAATTGTAGGAGGTGTTTCCCGGATGGCCCAGCACCTTCTCTGTGGGCCTGGCGTGTAGCCCTGCTCCATGCTGACATTGGTACAGTGAAGGCCCAAGGGGTGACCTTTCTGGTGGTTTTAATCATTTTTGCCGCTGCCCCTCGAACATGTGGCCAGGAGGTGACACTACTCATCTAGCCATTGCCAAGGTTAGTGCCCTCACCTCTGAGCCTAGGGCCACTGTCATTGTCACTTCAGGCATGTCTTTGTTTGGGCATTAAAGGTAAGCCTGCCAGCCTAAGAGGCCTTGGAACTGGTGGACTACTTTCCGAGTCATTAGAGATGCAGCTTCACACATTTTAAATGGGCTCCTTGATGGATCCCATCTCTCTCTCGGCCCTCCGATCCTGGTGCCAGTGGTGGGCAGGTTCCCATTCCTTGGGGCTGGGAGGGACAGCTTGCCTGTTTCTGGTCAGTAACGACCATTTTTCCTGTACCATTCTGTGGCTTCAGCCATAGGGGTGGTGGCTCTTCATTCGTGTAGACTGTCATTTCCTGGCAGGGCAGAGGCTAAGACAGAGTCAGGGGCCACTTGGGACCCCCTTTAGTTGAACCTCTCCAGCCTGGGGATGTGCTGTGCCTCCTGAGTTCCTATGTTTTGGGAGCAGATGCTGCCTTGTTTTGCTCTTCATAGTGAGAGAGACTATATCCACTATCCAGTGTTTTCCTGGCACTAAAAAGAGCAGAAGGGCCTGGGATTTGCTGCTGCTCCATCAGGGCAGGAACCCTTTTTTCAGCACTTTTGATATTTGGGAGACCCAGCTCTGTTATCTGGTGGGTGGTGGGCATGTGTGTGTGTGCACGCGCGCGCGCACACACACACACACACACACACACATACTCACTGCCTCTACTCTTTTTGCCTGCTCCTTGCCAGAGAGCCCTGTCCCTGCCAGGCTCTGCCTTCCCAAACCCCAACTTGGGACCAAAGTGCAACGCGGGATCACGGGTTGGGGCGCTCAAGTGACCCCTCTCTCTAGTGCTTCCCTGGGCCAAGTCGACACCAGCCCCCTGGGCTAGTGGGGGGTGGGACCGGTGGTGCTTAACGAGGAAGGGGACCAGTGTAGCAGCTTGCCAGGGACCCCACCCCTCCCTCACACTGGGGCCTGTGCAGTGGATGTAGGGTTTGCCCCAGGGGCCAAAGGCCTGGGCTAGTTCTGTAGCCGCTGCTCACTCGCACACACCTGGCCACGTGCACGCCCCCTAGATGCAGATTGCTTGGAACTTTAAAGCTGTTCAATTTGGTTCTGTTATTGCCGATTAAAAAAAAGTTTTAATGAGGAAAAAAATGGAGCACCCTGGGAAGGACCTGGTTCCTTTACTTCTCGGGGAACTGTGAGGCCTCGCCTCTAGGAATCGCTCTCTACTCTACTTTCCTGGAAGCCTCCTAAACCTGCCCACACCGCCCGAGGCCTGCGCCCCCTTCCACTCTCGGCTCCGGCCGCAGCTGGGCCACCCGCGTCTCCTCGGGACCTTGCGTGCCGGGGAGGGGTGCTCGGGCCTTGGACCGGGTCGCCCCTTTCTGTGCACCTAGCGCTGCCCGCCCCGCTTGTGTCTAAGGTCGTGTTATGTCAAAATAAAGCCGCTAGAAACTGAGGTGTGTCCGCGTCTTCGCTGTCCTGCGGCTTCCAGGACACAGGCCCTGCCCCACCGCGGCTCCCGTCCCTCCGGGGCGGGGCCGGAAACGGCCGTCTGGCGGCCGACCCCGGCACCCGTCGGGAAGGAAGCCTCGCCCTTGGCGCCAGTTCCGCCTTTGGATCCGCCAATGGTTAGCTGACCCGCGGGCCCGAGGCCCGGTCCCCATGGCAGCCGGGCGCGCCCGGCCTCTTATTGGCTACGTCTGCCGGAGCGCTGCGTTTCAGCGCTCCGACGTCGGCGTCCGTGCCACGTAAACGGCAGCGGATTGGCCGGCCCGGGCTTACGTCACCGCCCGCCTAGGTCCGGCCTGACTTCTGGGCCCGCCGCCCTCCGTCTCTCGTCGCGTACTGCTGTGTGCTGCCCCGGGCCGGCGTCGGAGTGAACTGGGCGGCCAAGGCAGAGCCAGAGTGGGTCAGTCTGGCAGGCGAAGGGCGTGGGGCCGGGCATGGCGGCGGGAGTGTGTGGCAGGGCTCCGCCGGGCGGGCCGGGCCGCGGAGCCCGGGATTCACTCTCCGGCCGCCCGCAGGCGCGATGAAGGCACTGATCTTGGTGGGCGGCTATGGGACGCGTCTGCGGCCGCTGACGCTGAGCATCCCGAAGCCACTGGTGGATTTCTGCAATAAGCCCATCTTGCTGCACCAAGTGGAGGCGCTGGCCGCGGTAAGACCCCGAGGGGTCGGTGTTGTGGTGGGACCTGGCAGGAAGAGGGACGGCTAGTACTTGGGGGTCGCGAACGCCCGTACCTTACGGCTGAGCCCTTCTGTTGGCGGGCGCTGTTTTGTCCAACAGGCAGGCGTGGACCACGTGATTCTGGCCGTGAGCTACATGTCTCAGGTGCTGGAGAAGGAAATGAAGGCGCAGGAGCAGAGGGTGAGGCTCGGACTTTTGACCTTTCTCTTTGCTCCCCGCGCAACCACCCACCCTGGTGGGAGGAACCTGACAGGCGATTTCTCCCTTCCAGCTGGGAATCCGAATCTCCATGTCCCATGAAGAAGAGCCTCTGGGGACAGGTCAGTAAAGGTCCCTTGGGGAGGGTCTAGGGCCTGGGAAGGGGTAAGACCCAGCCTGGCTGGGGTCTCCTGAGCCTCTGAGCTCAAACCCTCCCCACCCGCCTCCAGGAAGATGGTGATTGGGTACTTCTCTTCTAGCTGGGCCCCTGGCACTTGCCCGTGACCTGCTCTCTGAGACTGCAGACCCTTTCTTCGTCCTCAACAGTGACGTGATCTGTGATTTCCCCTTCCAAGCCATGGTGCAGTTCCACCGGCACCACGGCCAGGAGGGCTCCATTCTGGTAAGGGATCAGGTCTTTCTTCTCTGACACTCCTGTACCCCATGCCCAGGCTTTCCCACTGCCCAGTCTTTAACTGTCCCATTGGGTCATGGGTGCAAAGCTGTACAGTATGTGTCTTTAAGCATTGGGGCACAGCCCCCCAGACTGGGCCTGAGGTCCTCCTCCGCTCAGGTGACCAAAGTGGAGGAACCCTCAAAGTATGGTGTGGTGGTATGTGAGGCTGACACAGGCCGCATTCACCGGTTCGTGGAAAAGCCACAGGTGTTTGTGTCCAACAAGATCAACGCAGGAATGTACATCCTGAGCCCCGCGGTGCTGCGGCGCATCCAGGTGTGTAGAAGCAAGCTGCGGGGCGGGCTCGGGTAGTGTCCCCACCCACGACCCTGCTCACAAGCTGCCCACTCCCACAGCTGCAGCCTACATCCATTGAGAAGGAGATCTTCCCTGTCATGGCCAAGGAGGGGCAGCTATATGCCATGGAGCTGCAGGGTGAGGCAGAGAGGCCACAGGGTAGGGGTGTGGTGTGGCCGGGCTGAGCCCCCTGATGCATTTCCTCCCAACAGGCTTCTGGATGGATATAGGGCAGCCCAAGGATTTCCTCACCGGCATGTGCCTCTTCCTACAGTCCCTACGACAGAAGCAGCCTGAGCAACTGTACTCAGGCCCTGGCATTGTGGGCAACGTGCTGGTGGTGAGCACCCTGCCCAGCCCATCCTCCGAGCCCCTTCTCAGGCTTGGGAGAGGAGTGCCTCACTTGTGTTCTCCCCATGGTCCTTAGGACCCGAGTGCCCACATCGGCCGCAACTGTAGCATTGGCCCCAATGTGAGCCTGGGCCCCGGTGTGGTGGTGGAAGATGGTGTGTGCATCCGGCGGTGCACGGTGCTGCGGGGTGCCCGCATCCGCTCCCACTCCTGGCTCGAGTCCTGCATTGTGGGCTGGCGCTGCCGCGTGGGCCAGTGGGTAAGCCTGGGGGCCGGGCCGGGTGGGGGAGGGGCAGGGAAGGCGTCTTGTCCCACTGACCAGGCACGCCCCCTCCCCCCGAGGTGCGCATGGAGAACGTGACGGTGCTGGGTGAAGATGTCATCGTTAACGACGAACTCTACCTCAATGGGGCCAGCGTGCTGCCCCACAAATCTATCGGCGAGTCGGTGCCAGAACCTCGCATCATCATGTGAGGGGATGCTGGGGGCTGGCTGAGTCCCCATTTCCCTGATGGCAGGGGGCACCCTGGCCTGACACATCCGAAGGCCCTGGACTCACTGTTTATCTGGGAGGACCGGACAAGGCTGAAGGGTTGGGACACCTACCCTCTCCTGTGGACACAATCTGGCAGGACCCTTGCTGGGCATACCCCACAAAGCCTACTCCCTCAAGAAGGGCCGGGCCAGGGCTGTATGGAATAATAATTTAATGCTCACTGTGGCCCTGACTGAAAGTCGAGCTCAGGCACAATTAGGACACGGCTGGGCTCCTGCCAGTGAGGTTACACTCAGGCAAGGAGGTTGGACATGGCAGGGGGGTCATGGGAACAGGGCAAGGGGAGCTCATAAATAGGGCCCAGCCTGGGTCTGAGTTCAGGGGTGGAGGCTGCTGCTGTGTGGGCTAGGCGGCTGAGGAAGTGGTGGTACTGGCGCTCGCCGTCTTCTCCCAGTCCTCTACAGACACGATGGTGGCTTTGCAGAAAAAGCAGTCCTTGTTGTTCATCAGGTGCTGGTTGATGCAGGCTCTACAGCAGGGGAGGGGAGGAGGATGAAGAGGGCCTGAGTACCCTTGCTGCTTCTGCAGCTCCCTGCACCCATGGGGCCCACTTACTTGCAGGACTTATGGCCACAGGGCTGGAACACAGCAGAGATGGGGTGAGCATAGCAGATGGGGCAGAGGTCCTCCTCGCTGGTGGGCTGCAGGGAGCAGAGTGCAGGGTGGGCTGGGGATGGTCACCCAGACAAGCAGACAAAAGACTATACCTAAACAGCGTGCATAGTTGTGCCAGCATGTATGCAGGGGCATACACCTGGGTGCTGTGGTGCCCACTCACCAGGGAGGCAGCCGCTGCCTGGGCAGACGCAGAGGTCAGGTGTGCCAGCATCTGTTCCACCTGAGCCAGCTCCTCGGCGCTGATGTAATCTGTGTCTGGGGGTGGTAGCAGCTGTCAGACCCAATGTGGCCCTAGAACCCAGTGCGTCTTAAGCACCACAACTTGGGGATTTGCTCTTGAGACTCCTGATCTAGCCCAGCCCCAAATCCCTGACCCACCCCCGGCCCACTCACAGCTCTGCAGGGAGAAGCGCTTCCGGTCAGGGGCAGGCAGGGCAGTGCCAGGGGCAGGGGGCTCTGGCTGCCCCAGGAGATAACATATAGAGCGGAGCTGGAAGCAGGGATCAGCAAGGAGCACTGACGTGGCTCTCTCTGTCCTAGTGGGAGAATGGGGGTAAGGATAGTCAGAAAGCAGTACCTGCTGGAGAAGTGGGAATGGTGGGACAGTCCAGCCCACATCCCTGCTTTTCACTTCCTGTCCCCCACCCCCATGTCTCTTATCCTAGACCCCAGTAAGAACTCCTATAGCCTGGGTGCCAGTTTAAGGGGGTGACCAGCAGATGGCGAAAGCCTGCCTACTCCTAATAAACACTAACTCTCCAAAGAAAACAATAAAAAACATCACTAGCAGCTTAAAGGACTGCCTCCCAGGTTTCCCCTCCTACTGTTAACAGGGTAGATGGGCACCGCAAAGCCACTGGTTAAGCATCGCTTGGGGCATTGGTGGCGGATTCGCGCCCCCTGTGGCGGCCACATGGGAACCTTGGTCGAGGGGAGGAGGGGCTGCCTCGCCTCCTCCCAACAGGAGCCAATGGGAGGCTGAGGCCCCGCCCTCCTCCAGGAGAGTATTTAGAAGCTGACCAGGGAAGCACTCGGAGAGCTGGGGAAGCCGGACCAGGGAGTACTGTGGGGAAGCCTGGCCCCAGATCCGGACCTGGAGCCAGGGAGCAGGGGCCGTTGGTGTGCGGGTCGGAGCCCACAGCTAGCAGAAGTGGGTGAGTCCCTGTGCTGGGTCCCTCACTGAGCTGCCCCAGTCCCAGCCGCAGCAGGCACCACTATGGCCTGGCTGGTGCTGCTGGGTGTACTGCTGTGCCTTCGGCGCATCGGGATGGGCAGCCTGGGCGTGGAGGGCTTCGTGCCCTCCGCGCCCCATAACTGCCCCTACAAATGTGTGTGTGCCGCCGACCTGCTGAGCTGCACGGGCCTGGGGCTGCAGGATGTGCCGGCTGCGCTGCCGGCTGCTGCCACAGACCTTGACCTGAGCCACAACGCCCTCCAGCGCCTGCGCCCCGGGTGGCTGACGCCCCTCGCCCGACTGCGCACCTTGCACCTGGGCCACAACGAGCTGGATGTGCTAGGTCGCGGAGTCTTCACCAATGCCAGTGGCCTGCGGCTGCTTGACTTATCATCTAACGAGCTGCGGGTGCTGGGACGCCACGACCTCGAAGGGCTGGGGGCGCTAGAGAGGCTGCTCCTGTTCAATAACCGACTGGCGCACTTGGACGAGCATGCATTCCAGGGCCTGAACGCACTCAGCGCGCTCTACCTGGGCTGCAACGAGCTCTCCTCCTTCTCTTTCCACCACCTCCACGGCCTGGGTGCCACCCACCTTCGTACGCTGGACCTCTCCTCCAACCGCCTGGGCCGCGTCCCCGCCACTGCCCTGGCCGCCCTGCCGGCCTTTCTCAAGAACGGCCTTTACTTGCACAACAACCCCCTGCCCTGCGACTGCCGCCTTTACCAGCTGCTGCGGCGCTGGCGCCAGCGGGGCCTCAGCGCCGTCAGTGACTTCGCCAGGGAATACACGTGCCTGGCTTTCAAGGTGCCTGCGTCCCGCGTGCGCTTCTTTGAGCACAGTCGGGTCTTCGAGAACTGCTCAACCGCCCTGGCTCAGGGCCTGGAGCGGCCGGAGGAGCAGCTGCACGTGCAGATGGGTCGGTCCCTGAGGCTACGCTGCAACACCAGCATCCCTGCTCTGCGCGTCGCATGGGTGTCCCCAAAGCAGGAGCTGCTGGTGGCCCCAGGGTCCCAAGACGGCAGCATCGCTGTGCTGGCAGACGGCAGCTTGGCCATCAGCAACGTGCAGCCGCGGCACGAGGGACTCTTCGTGTGCCTGGCTGTGGGGTCCCACTTGCACCACAACCAGACGCATGAGTACAACGTGAGCGTGCACTCCCCACGCCCCGAGCCCGAGGCTTTCAACACAGGCTTCACAACCCTCCTGGGCTGCGCCGTGGGCTTGGTGCTCGTGCTGCTCTATCTGTTCGCACCGCCCTGCCCTGGCTGCCGCCGCTGCTACCGCCGCACCTGCCGCTGCTGCCACCGCCGGTGGCCCCGGGCACCCAGTCCCCTCCGGGACCTGAGCGCGCAGTCCTCCTTGGTGCTCAGCACCACCCCGCCCGATGCGCCCAGCCGCAAGGCCAGTGTCCACAAGCATGTGGTCTTTCTGGAGCCTGGCAAGAGGGGCCTCAATGGGCGTGTACAGCTGGCCGTAGCCGAGGACTTTGATCTCTACAATCCCATGGGCCTGCGGCTCCAGGCTGGCTCTGAGTCCGCTAGCTCCACGGGCTCTGAGGGTCTGGTGATGACCTAGGCTGTCCTGGGCTCAGAGCCAGGCCACCAACCACCCACCGCTTGCCCGGCTCCCTGCTGCCGCCTGGAAAACTGCCAGATGCTAGTGGGAGCGCTGGGCTTAGTCCTCCAGCCTCCCGTGTGGCCTCGACCTCAACTACATCAGCCCCACTCACTGAAGGAAGGGCTGGGCTCCCTATCCTGTCTCCTGCTCTGCTCTCACACAGGGCCCAAAGGCCGTAGGCCCTCACCTGCTGGTGCCCAAAGGTCGCACAAGGCCTGGAACTGGGGCCATCTGGAAGAGCCCTTGCATTAGAGCCCAAGGCACACCCTTAGGGGCCGAGAAGCTATCCCGCAGTCATGGCGAAGAACTGAAACATAACCATCTCCCCCTTCCCAACAGGACAGGAAGAGAGTGGGCCCATAGGGGAGAAGGAGCGCTCCAAAGACCTAGACCCCCACCCAGAGCGGAAGGAGGAAACACGTACCAACATCCAACCTCCTTCAAGCTTCACAACTCCATGCAGTCTGGTGAGCAGGCAGAAGGCAGGCAAGGCTCTTCAAGAGCCCCCCAGTGGGCCTGGCCTGAGCCCCAGCAAGAGCAGCCCCTCCATCTCTGGCCAGAGACATCCACAGGCCACTCTGAGGACAGGGCCTCCTCCCATGGGCTCACCAGACAGCAATAAGGGGCACCATGGCCTGTCCCCCAGCTTTTCAGCAGTAAAAAGCCTGCTGAGCATGGCCAAGATGGGAGGGCTGAGCCGGAACTCGCTGTCCCTGGAGGGTAGAAGCCTCTTAAGGGCTGGCACTGGTCTCGGTGTAGTGGCTGCGGCAGTGCCCTGGTCTTATACGCATCTTACCACCCACCACAGGGAGTCAGGGAAGAGGGGTCTGGAACCCCTCCTGTGTGTGTGTTGAGCTGGGGGCTCCTACAAGCATCCAGGATCCAGTTGTCATGGAGTTCCTTAATAAAGGCGGTACATGCTCATTATCGGAACCTTTGTGAACACAAGTAGCAGTGCGTGTCCTCAGCCCCTGATCCCAGCAGTGGCGTCCCTACACCGCACGACAGCAACCCACCCCTGCCTGAAGCATAACCGCAAGCTTGTGAGGTCCCCGAGTCTTCTACTCCGAGCCACGGCTGCTGCCACCTAGTTAGAGAGTGTGTATGCCTCACTGCCTCTGCGCCCCCCCAACCCCCACCCCGCCTCAGAAACCTGACACCAAGGTTCACTGTAGAGTTGAAGAGACAGCGGGCCCGAGGCCCTGGCCGCCCCACTCCCATCAGCCACACCAGCTCCCGAGGGCCCAGGTGCCTAACACTCACCCTGAGGCCGGGCCGTGCACCAGGAGTCGCACCAGGATGCCCGTCACAGCAACCAGAATGGGGTAATGGTCCACGCTCTCCAGGCCTGGCGGGGAAGGAGGAAGGGAAGAGCTGCCGCACGCTCCTACCACGGGGTCAGGGCCCGCCTGGCTAGCACCAGCCCCCGCCCCATCATCCTCCCCAACAGAAGGGCAGGCTAAGGCCGGGGGTGCCAGGCCTGAGTGTCCTGATGCAGGATGGACAATCAGGCATCACGGCTCCCAGCGGGGGAACTGAGACCTGGGATATGCTGGGTGAAGGGCACTGGATCCTCACCAGGCAGCCGCAGGGTGACCACGCGGTCAAACAGGTTCCTCTCCGCCGTCACCCGGTTCAGCACCTGGTTTAGCAGCTGTGAGGGCAGGAGTCCATTGGTGGGTGTCTGGGTGAGCTCGCCACTGGGGCATTCCTAAGGGGTCCCCCCACTCCCTGCCCCAAAGGACACACCTGTGCGAGTCGCCGCAGCAGCATCTCGGAGGTAGGCTGGGCCCAGTCAAGGAATATCTCAGGCACCAGCGTGATGGTCATCTCCAAGACACGCAGCAGGCTGACTGAGAGGTCAAAGCAGGTGGCACACACCTTGAGCTGCCGGCTGTCCACAAAGTTCCGCTCTAGGCGCTCAGCGGCCTGTTGGATCTGAGCCACCGGCAGGGACAGGTGGTGGTCAGTGGCCTGGCCATGCCACAAATCATGCCGGCTCCACTGCAATGCCCCAGCCCACCCGCCCCACCGTGACCCACCTCCTGGATCATGCCGATGAACTCCGAGAAGGCCCAGTTGAGCTGGTTGAGGACGCTGTTGAGGAAGCTAGGTGCCACATCGGGACCCTCCCGCAGCAGCTCCGCCATGTGCTGCTGAAGCAGGGTAGAGGGGCAGGGCTCTGTGGGGGCAAGGGGAGGCAGCATCACTGGGGACTCCAGTCCAGGACTCCTGCCTGTCCTGTCTACCTCTGTCCTCACTTGCTGGGCCATTGGTGTAAGGACCAAAAGCTCCCGTCATGAGGGCAGGAGGACAGGGTCCAGCACTGTGTGGGGTCTAGAGCTAAATCTGTCCTTCCATCTGCTGGGCAAGCTGCAGGATGAAGTCTTTCCCAGCTCCGCACCATCCCTGTGGCCTAGAGCTGCCCCCCAGCCTGCCCCGAGCGAGATCTCAGCCACATGCCTTTCAGGAAGGGCTAGATGCAGACAGGGTGACTGAGGCCCTCTCTCTTCTCACTCTTATCTGGGTCAACGTCCCTAAGACCTACTGTCTAAACCTTGCCATCCTCTCCTCTCCTCTCTCCTCTCTGCTGCCCTTGGCCTGGCCTTGGCATATGGCAGAGGTGGTGGGTGCCAAGTCTGGGATGACAGGGAGGAGTAACCAGAGCCCTTAGCCGCAGCCAGGCTGGACACCACCCCCCCAGCCCCGTGCAAATCAATAGTTCTGACAGCAGCCGGACAAGTATCTGGTCCCACTGCCGCTCTCCATTTGCAGCTCAGTTCCACCTGCAGGCACAACCAAAACAATGGGCAATGGACTTCACATAAGGCAATCGGCCTCTGGGACCCCTTCACACAACAACCCTGCCCACAAGGGCAGAAACACGCCACACGGGCCAAGGACAGCCACCCTGTGGGGTGAGCGCAGTGTGTGGCAGAATGCAGCCGGACCACTCTAGTCCTGGCCCAGCTGAAGGTCCTCAAGTTCACAGAGCTCTGGGGGACCATGCCCCTGGAGAGAGAGCAAAGCCTCTGCTCCCAACCAAGTGCCCCTTCCCCCTGGAAGCCCCACAGGCACCCCCCAGTCTGTGCCTCTGCCTTGAGTCAAGTTATCCAAGGTCTGGCACCAGCAGATGGCAACAAAGGGGGAGAAGGACATGGTGCCAGGGCCAGGCTGGAGGTCAGGGAGCTGGTTCAGGGTCCTCACTCTGCATCAGCTGCCAGCTCTCTTCCCAGCCTGGGAAGATACTGCCTTTTCCCTGTGACCCAGCAGAGTGTTTGGGCCCGAAGGGCAGACATGGGACTGGGGAGCCAGGGGAAGAGTAGGCTCAGTGCCCCTGGACAGAGAGGAAGCCGGGAAAGGGAAACCACAGGGGGCAGAGTTGGGGCCTAGCATGAGTGCAAGAGAGAGGCTGGAAGACGGGAGAAGACTCCTAGAGGACCCAAGAGCAGGGGGCCAGGGCCCCCAGGGTAACCCAACCTGGCCACTCACTCTGGAGGCTGGGCAAGTTGGCATCCTCAGGTTTGGTTTTTAGCAGGTGCGGCAGCCGTGTGTAGCGGTACCCGAACCCACAGCCCTGTGAGGGAGGGTCCGGTGGGTCAGTGGGGGGTAGGGCAACCCTCCCCTGCACCCCACCATGGCCACCACCACTCCAGCCGGGCTTACCCTCCAGAGCCGCACCAGGATCCAGTTGGTCTGGGCCCAGGGCCGCTGCTCATAAGGAGCCAGGAGGCTCCTCACCATGGCAACACGCCTGTGAGGGCAAGGGGTGGTGGGCAAGGGGTGAGGCCAGGTGTGGTGCGGTGCGGGGCAGGGCGTGTGCCTCCCTGCCCTGACCCGCACTCACTGCTCCTCAGGGATCCGCTCCACAGCCCGCAGGGAGTGTGGGTAGCACACGTAGCTGGCCAGCGCCTGCATCAGCGAGTCACGGATGTCTGTTGGGACAGGCCATGCCTCAGCAGGTGCCTGGCATGAGCGCCGGCCCCCACGCCTCAATCCCACCTGGCCGGCATTCTGAGCAGGAAACAGCCGGCCAGAGGGCTGTCCCATCCCTGCCCCCCGAGCCCTCCGCAGGGCCCCTCACCGGTGCCCACGATGCGTGTGTCCGCAAAGTGTTTGGCGAGGATGGCGGCCAGGCGGGTCAGGGTCTCTTCATAGCCTGCAGGAGGGGCAGGAGGGGCGCTTGGCTGGGAGTGGTAGCTCTGGGGTTAGGCACGACCCTGGCAGGGTGAGCGGGCTTGGGCGGTGGGCTCCAGTGCTGACTCCGGAGCCAGTCTGGGCCCGAGCTGTCATCTAGGGACTTCGGGCACGGCATTCACTGACTGTGAGGGGCCATCGCGCAGACTCACTGTGGGGGGAGGACGGTCCTGCAAGCCGGGGCTCAAGCCCATCGTGGCACACACTTGATGGCTCAGCAGTCAAAGCCCCTTGGGCACCCACAGCTCCGCCTCTGAGGACAAAGCCTGCACCTAGGCCTGGGGCGGGGCAGGGGACAGGCCAGGGGCCGACACCCCACAGCCTGAGCCAGACATAAACCACCAAGCCCAGCCTGACCTGGTCTGTGAGAAGCCCAAGCTTTATACATGGCCTCCAGCCGAGCACCCCGCTTGCTGGGATCTGCAAACACAAGCCACATCCCAAGGCCGGTCCCAGGGCACCAGGTGTGGCCAGCTGGCTCCAGACTACAGCGACACCAATACGGAAGTTCGAGCTGGAGGGGGACCCCACCCTGGCACTCCGTTTTGTCTCCTCCCTTCCTGGCACCAGTACCGGGGAGGAGCTGTTGGCTCTGGGGCTACAGTAGCGAGTAGGGCTCCTCACCAGGTGGGGCTTTTGCAAATGCTTGTTCACCACAGAGGGGAGGAGAACAGGGGCTGCCTCCCCTCCTCCCTCCACGAACACGCATGCTGTGGGGCTAGGAAGGCTCAGCACAGGGCTCGCCTCAAAGACCTCCTTTTCTGTCCCCTCCCGGCCTGGACAGCCTTGTCACCTGGGAGCTCCTCCATGCTGTGCACGGGGCCGAAGTAATTCTTGAGGGCGCTATAGCTGTTGATGGCCACGCTCAAGTAGAACTCCGGCATGAAGGCGAAGAGAGAGCCCGTGCGGTCGCCGTGCTCGATGGTCCGCAGGCAGACGCGCAACAGCCAGTAGATATCGAGCATCTTCTCCTGAGGGAGGCACAAGGGGTGCTGCTGGGCTGTTTGCGGAGAGGGTCATAGGGGGCAAGGCTCGGGCCAGGGACCAGGAAAGGCCTCCATGTTCCCAAGTGGGAGCAGTGGCTCAGGAAGGGCAGTCACGTGCTTGGCAGACAAGCGTGCGCCCCGTGCTCGGAGAGGGCAACGCCCCAGCCTAGACCGGAATTCTGGCTTGCAATTTTTAACGGTACAGGTTTTAGGGGCGCCTGGGTGGCTCAGTCAGTTAAGCGTCCAACTCTTGCTTTCAGCTCAGGTCATGATCTCACAATCTTGAGCTCAAGCCCCAAGTCGGGCTCTAGGCCGGGGAGAAAGCAAACCACCTGCCAAAGGCCCTGTTCCCCACAGGATGGATCCCACATAGTCTATGCCCAGGAGGAGTCACCAGCCAGGCCGCAGGCCAGACCCAGACCATCCCCATGTCTTGGAGCTGGAGCATCTGGACTTGACCTCAGTTCTGATGGGTCCCCAAACCTAGGAACCCAAGGAGAAGATACAAGCAGGGGTCAGAGGGTGCACCTGAGCCAGGAGGTCTGCAGGGAGCCTTCTGGCACAGAAGGCCAGAGAAGACCAAGTCTGAGGAGGGGCTGGCACCCATGGGCCCAAAGGACCACTGTAATGGGGGTGGAGATGTTTCTGCACAGGGGGCGGGGCGCTTGAGAGAGACCTTGCAAAAGGTCTATTTCAGAGTGGAGTGAAGGAGGGGCCTGTGCTGGGCCAAGAGTGAAGGGAAAATGAGGAGCGAAGACACAGAGAAGGAAGGAGGGAGTGGCTGCTATAGGCAGATGCAGAATCAGGGAAAGGCATCACAGGTTTTTCTCTTTACTAACGGGAGAAAGTAAAGGAGAAGGAGGCTGGAGTGTGAGCACTGAAGATGGAGAAGAAAGCAAGCAGTTCAACATAATAAAGGGTTTTTATGAAAAGCCCACAGTGAACATCAGACTCAATAGTGAAAAACTAAAAGCGTTTAAAGACAAGGATGCCCTCTTACGCTACTTCTACTCAGCACAGTACTGGAAGTCCTGGCCAGAGCAATCAGACACAAAAAGAAATAAAGGTATCCAAATTAGAAAGAAAGGAGTAAAATTATCTCTATTCACAGATGACATGATCTTATACGTAGAAAACCCTCAAGAATACACACACACACACACACACACACACGTGTTAGAATAAATGAATTCAGGAAATATGCAGGGTCTGAAATCAACACAGCAAAGTCAGTTGTGTTCTTTTCTTTTTTAAAAAGATTTATTTATCTGAGAAAACGTGCATGCATTGGTAGGGGGAGAGGGAGAGAGAATCTTAAGCAGACTCCACGCCCAGCATGGAGTGCTCCTCAGGGGCGTGATCTCAGGACCCTAAGATCACGACCTGAGCTGATACCAAGAGTCAGATGCTTAACTGACTGCCACCACCCAGGCGCCCCGCCAGCGGTGTTTCTATACGCTAGCAATGAGCAAGCCAAAAAGGAAATCAAGAAAATAATTCCACTTAATGAGCATCAAAAAGAATGAAATCAAGGTATCACTCTAACCAAGAAGGTAGAAAGACTTGGACACTGAGAACCGTAACATGTTGCTGAAAAAATTTTTAAAGACCCAAATGGAAAGACAACCCATGGATTGGAAGACTTGATATTGTTAAGTAACAATACCCTCCAAAGCAAACTACACACTTAATGAAACTCCTATCAAAAGCTCAATGGCATTCTTTTATAGAAATAGAAAAATCTATTCTAAAGTTCACATGGAGTCTCAAAGGACTCAAACAGCCGAAACAATCTTGAAATAAAACAAAGCTGGAGATCTCCTACTTTCTGATCTCAGAACTTACTGCAAAGCTACAATAATCAAAACAGTGTGGTACTGGCATAAAAAATACCATACAGACCAATGGAATAGCCGCGAGAGCTCAGAAACAAACCCACACACATATGACCCAAGGGTTTTTGACAAGGACGCCAAAACCATTCAATGGGGAAAGGAAAAAGTCATTCCAGTAAATGGTCCTAAGAGAACTGGGAAAGAATGAGAAAGAATGAAGGTGGGCCACCACTTCACATCTTCTACAAAAATTAACTCACTGACTTACAAGCTAAAACTACAAAACCACGTGGGGAGCACTTCATGACCTTGGATTTAACACCGACTTTTGTCAGCTGGCGGGCTGTGACAACCAGACCAAGAGAAAAAAGAAAAACTGGACTTCATCAGAATGAAAACTGCGACAAAGTCACCACCTACAGAGTGACAAGGCAAGCCACAAAATGGGAGAAAATATGTGTAAATCATAATCTGATAAGGGGCCGATATCCAATATATAAAAATAATTCCTATGAATCAACAACAAAAACCAAGCAATCCAAACAAATGGGCAAATGCACTGAAACTTACATTTCTCCAAAGACATGCAAATGGCTGATAAGCCCATGACAAGGTGCTCAACATCACTGATCAACAGGGAGATGCAAATCCGAACCACAAGACACTGTTTCACATCGATTAAGATGGTTACTATCAAAAAATATAGACAGATAAGTAGACAGATATACAGACAGCGTGAGGGAGGGAGTAGCAAGTGTTGGCAAGAATGGGAAGAAACTGCTGCTTTTGAGCCCTGCTGGTGGGAATGTAAAATGGTACAATCACTGGATGGCCGTTCCTCAAGAAATTAAAAATAGAAGAACCATGTAATCCAGCAATTCTGCCTCAGGTACATATCCAAGAGAACCGAAAACAGAAGCGCAAAGAGATAGTCATCTACACCAGGAACACGGCGGCACCATTCAGAGTAGCCGGGAGGTAGAAACAAACCGATGGTGGATGACTGGGCAAACAACGGGCTACAGACACAGAGCAGAAGGTAATTCAGCCTTTGGCAGGAAGGCACTCCTGCCACCTGCCACAGGAGGCGGCAAGGACGTTCTGCTCAGTGAAATACACCAGCGACAGAGCCGGATGTTGTAGGACGCCACTTACACACGGTCCCCGGAGCGGTCAGATTCACAGACACAGACAGCAGAGTGGTGGGAGCAGGGACGGAGGTGAGGATGGGATGTGGAGGTAGCAGGGTAAGTTTCAGTCTGGGAAGAGGAAGGGCTCTGGAGACTGACCGCACAACCTACTTACCACGACTGGACTATATATTTAAAATGATTACGGTGGTAAGCAATTTATTATATGTATTTCACCACAACTTTAAAAAAAGTGTTAAGAGAGCAAATTTTATGCTATGGATATTTTATCTTTTTTTTTAAAGATTTTATTTATTTGAGAGAGAACACAAGAGACAAAGAGCAAGCTAGCACGAGTAGGGGGAGGGGCAGAAGGCGAGGGAGAAGCAGACTCCCCACTGCGCAGTTGGCCCATTTATCATAATGTACGTATTTATTTATTTTAAAGATTTTATTTATTTATTTGACAGAGAGATAGACAGCACAAGCAGGCAGAGCAGCAGGCAGCAGGAGAGGGAGAAGCAGGCTCTCCACCAAGCAGGGAGCCCAACACGGGCTCGATCCCAGGATGCTGGGATCATGACCTGAGCTGAAGACAGTCACTTAGCCGACTGAGCCACCCAGGCAACCCCCCCCCCCCTTTATCATAATTTTAATAAAAGGAAAGAAGCTACAGAGATGAGAGGGCAAAGTTCCTAAGAAGATGGTGTGGGAGGAATGGGCAAGGCTGTCTAGGCCAGTGGACAGGCATGAAATTCCCATCAGGAGAGGAGAGGAAGCTCCCAGACGATGATCACCTCTACGGGGCTGGAGGCAAGGCAGCCTGGGGCAAGGTGGGGCAGCAGGTGGAGGTGGTTGGAGTTGGAAAGGAGGCTGGGAGAAAGCAAGCTGGGATAGTGGGCAGAGGTGGCACAAAGGCCTTGATCACCCAGTTATGGGGGAAGGGCACGCCTAAGAATGTAGATGCCCCGACATGGGCACTTACTAGCGGGTAGAGATGCCAGGACAGTCTGCACAGGAAGCAAGACTGGAGGGTTCGGGGCCTGAGGGTCAAAACAGGGTCACAGGGAGAGTGTCTACAGCTCAAGGCTGACAGCACCGGGAGGACAGATACTCATCCTCCTGGGTCATGACGGAATGTCGCTAGCATCAGGATGCACCTGACACACTCCAGGCTCTGGCACAAACTACTGAATCAATGAGTGAGTGAATGACAAAGTAGGAAACAAGGCTGTAGCCTCTAAGGAGGGAGAGGAATCAGAGAGAAGCAGGTGCAGAGTGAAGGCAAGTGGGGCTCCAGGAGAGCGCCCCTCCACCCCAGAGAGAAGAAAGGAGCAGGGAAGAGGGGGACAGGCAGAAACAGGCTCTGTTCCTCTAAGGGAGGATGTGTGAGCTAGAGGGGAAATGAGGTGCCTACAATGGCATCTGCTCTAGCTCATGGGGCAAGAGAGCTTCAGGAAGTGTGGCTGGGGTAGGGGTGGGGGGATGAGGAGCAGGGAGGGGGCATGTGTGCACCAGAGGCCCAGGAGGACAGGGGGCATTGAGGGGCTGGCACAACCTGGCCCGGTCTATGACTAGGCAGTGAGCTTGGAGACAGCAGCAGCCACTGGCCAAGGCCACTTCCACTCACCTGGGAGTAGACAGTGGCATGGACCCAGGCAAGACGGCGACTCAGGTGGTCCAGCTTTTCGGAGAAAACCTTCTGACTCTTGGTCAACTCAGCGATGATGTCCTTCCTCTGCCACCCAAGGGGAAAGGAGGACAATCAGGCCACACACCCACACCTACCCTGCCTGCCCAGACGCAGCCTGGTGGGGACCCACTCATGCCCAGAGCAAGCAAAGGGGTGGGCAGACCCAGCTCTACTCTTTGATTCCTCTTCCGCCTCTGACCCCGACAAGCTTGAGCAGGCCTTGGGGCAGGGCCTTGGTCACCTGCATAGAACATGGAAGTGAGACGCAGCTGAAGTTCCATGAGCCCCTGGCCAGGACCCCCAGGGACTATGCTAGGACCAGAGCTCCGGCAGCTCCTCTCACCCCGGCCAAGCTTGGGCTCTGCATTCAGCTGGGGACGGGGCCTGGCAGAGAAGCCCAGCCCAGGCACGCTCGGCCCTGCTCCCCTGGCCTGGAGAGCTCTGGCAGAGGGGCTCCAGGGCAGCGGGGGCGGCAGGCCCTGCTTCCTGCTGACTCTGCAAGTGGCCGAGGAAGCACTCAGGGTCGGATTCATAATTGATGAGGAGAGTGGGTGTGCGTCAGCACTTAGTGGCGGGGGGTGGGGGATGGGGAGCGGGGGCACCTTGGCCTGGGCTGTGACTGGTGACGGGGCTCAGGCCAATGCTGCGCCCTAATGCCAGCCCCGCTCTCCCTGACATGGGGTAGTCAGGGGGGCAGGGACTGCAAACCCGCCGGGGCAGTCCCCAGAAGCAGGGACAGGGCCTGCCCTGAGAACCCCGAGCCTGCAAGCCCCCTCTGCGAACAGCCCTCCCGTCCCCAAACCCATCTGCCCATCCAGGCCTTCCTTACCCGCTTGGGGCACCGGCGGAGCTTGTCCTCTGTGTCCCTCAGAGCTATCGCATACTCATTGACGTCGTCAGACACCCCCACCATCTAGAGCATCAGACACAGGTCCCAGCATGAGCCCCGGGCAGCGCACTCCGCTTTCTTCAGATGCAGCCTGGCCCCAGGCCTGCCAAGCTTCCAGTCTCTGGCCCCGCACAGCCCCCTCCCGCAAAACAGCTCAGGCCCACGCACTCCCAGCAGCAGTCAGCCTCGCCGTGGCACACATCCATGTGCGGTCACACACAGGCACTCTGCGTGCGCGTACGCGCGCGCACACACACACACACACACACACAGAGGCACACTGCACACGTACACGTACACACACACAGGCATGCTGCGTGCACGCACACACAGAGGCACTCTGCGCACGCACGCACACACACACACAGGCACGCTGCACATGTACACGTACACGCACACACAGGCACTTTGCGCAAGCACGCGCACATGCACACAGGCACGCCGTGCACGTACACGCACGCACACACAGGCACGCTGTGTGCACGCACACACACACACACAGGCATGCTGTGTGCACGCGCGCGCACACACACAGACACAGACACTTTGTGCATGCACACAGGCATCAGAAGCGCAGGAGCACAGGACATGCTCGTGGGCCACCGGCGGGAGACCTTGCCCAGCTGCTGGTGAACACTGAGGTTGTACATCATGACGGCTCCATCCAGGACTTCCAGCAGGGAGTTCTCGGTGAGGGGCTGCTCCGGCTCCTCAGGAGGCCGCCCCAGCAGCAGGCCCTCGTTCCAGTGGCTGCCCTCAACTAGGAAGTGGGAGAAGGGCGGGGTCAGGGGCACAGACTCCTCCAGCCCTGTCCTGGCTTGTGGCACCAGGCTGGGCCTCACAGCAGGAGAAGGGAGCCCCTTCCCCCACCCTGGGCCCAAGGAGGGCCCCCTGCAGGGAGAACGCACGGGTAGGGGCAGGGCAAGGGCCTGCCACTGCCGGCCTATTTCTGAAGCATTGATTTCCTCCCCCTGGAGTGCACTTCCCATGTCCTTGAGCTACTGCCAGGCCACAGGACCAGGAGGGAATGGGTGTGGGGAAGCACACAGGACAGATGGCTTGTTTGGCCCTGCCTGGCACCTACTGTCTTCACGAGTCCTCTGTTCGGCGCTCAGCGTGCGGACCTTCACTTTCTCCGAGGTGCTCAGAGGCCGCCGGGGGGTCATCAGGCTCACAGCCGCTGTGCTGAGGAAGCGGTTAGCTCGGCCCAGGGTTGGAGAACTGAGCCAGCTGGGCCGGGGCAGGGGCAGCACGCCCCCCATGGCCAGAGCCTGCGTGGGGCGCTGTGGAGGAGAGAGGAGGCCAGACGCCACTCAGCTCCCCGGGGACAGGGGCCCATGTAGGGCCCCGTGGATTTGTGGGGCTGGGAAATAGCAGGAAGGTGTGGGCCTCCACCCACAGCAAAGAGACCTGCTTGGCGAGAAGCCCCTTGCCTGCACGGAGAGGGAGGTGGCCCCACGTGACACCCCTGCCCTTAGGAAAGAGGGACAGCCCGACACCAAGCCCCCTGCCCTCCCCTACCGCGGCACCTGGGCCGCAGGCGGGGCCGGCTCCTCATCCTCGTCTAGGTCATCCATGGTGGCCGCCTGGAGCTCCAGTGGGTCAATCAGGATATTGGCCTTGGAGGCAAGGTCATCTGGGGGGAAAAGCAAGAAGGCTCTCAGGCCAGCGGAGGGCTGAGGGGTCACAGTGGAACGGCCCAGGATGGCAAGGGTGCGCTGTGGGCTGTGTGCGCACCACTGCACCTGGCCTATGCCTTCCACTTACTCCGCCCAGCGTTCGCCGCCTCCCAAGGCCCTTTGTCTCACAGGGCCTTGTCAGCAGGAGACATTCCCCAACACTCCCCCTGGCAATGCCTCCGCTTCCAGTGCCGGCACGCTCTCTGGGGCCCCTGACTTTTCTGGCCCATTGCTTCCTTCCCGACCAACAGGAGATCCAGGGTTGTCTAAGCCACGACCCATCTCACTGTGCACACAGGCCTCAGCACAGGCTTGGCCGCATCCAGTTCTCCATAGACAGCCGGCCGCTGCACCTCTGCCTGCAGCCCAGGCTGTGGTCCCCAAACATACCGGCCAAGTCAGCTCAGCCATCTTCTGCAGCACCCTTCCTGCGGCCGCCCCACCCCCGCAGCCTCCAACAGGCAGCCTGGGGTCATCCTGAACTCCTGCCCTTCCCCTCTGCCTTCCCTCCACCTCCTCACTTGGCCCAGGAACTCCGTTCTCACACACAGACCCCGGACTTCACTCCCTTGCCTCAAAACCTTCCGAAGCAGCTCTGACCCCTGGAATGAGCCCACACCTGCTCTGTGGGCCACAGGGCCCTCAGACCACCCATGCGACTTTTTGGCCCCACTTCCCACAGGTCTCTGCCGGGTAGCTTCCTCTTGCCTTTGCAGGCTCTGTGCTCAAAGCCACTCCGTTCTTGAGAGCCAGTCAGGCATCGCTTATGAACGTTCCCCTCCCACATGTGACCTCGCCAAGATCCCACAGTCACTCCTCTGCCAGCACACGTGCCCCTATTTCATTTTCATTTTCATTACAGGACTCTCAGAATCTCCCTGGGGTGGGTGCTCAGAGGGAAGAGATGGCTGGACCCAAGACCTGAGGCCCATCAGCATCTCCCTGCTGGAGCAGGTCAAGATACTCGGGCGCCCTCTGGTGGGCCCAGGACAGCTCAGCACTCACGGCAGAGCAGGCTGAGGGCCTGCTTCCCCTAAACACTACCCTCCACGCCGCCAAGCCCCAACATCCTGCCTGCTGCCCACCACCCACCACGAACCTTTGAGGGTCTTCCGAAGGTGTGAGAGGAGGCCTCCCAGGCGCTGAAGGTCGAAGTAGTCTACCTTGCCATTATAGAAGACCTGGGGCGGGATGTAGGCCTCTACGAGAATTTGGGGGGGGCGGTGGGGAGGGTGGCGGGCCAGCAGTGAGCCAGGCAGGTAGACCCCCTGAGAAGCCAGCCCTCTACACTGCTTAGCAGAGAGGGGACCCCTGGCCTCGGCCACCCACTTGCCCAGGCACACAGCATGGCTTCAGTGCCAATGACGGCACAAATTGGGAAAAAGGGAGAATCCTGGCTACGGTCACATTCAGAGAGGGCCCTGCCCAGCCCTGTGAACATCCTGCAGTCTGGGCGGGCACGGCTCCCAATGACCCCGAGAACCCTGTGCCACACAAACACAGCCCCCAGCACCTCAGCCTGCCCATGGCGTTCTCTATAAAGGACTGCAGAGGACCAGACAGGCTGAGACTAAGAAGAAGAGCCCAGACTGGAAAGGGACTTGTGGGGACAGAGTGAATGTGGGCTTGGCACTCCTCCAGCGTGGGGCTCCCACTACCCTCCGGAAAAGCCACCCATCAGGAGGAGAGGACTCAATGGCAGGAAGCCTGGGGCAGCTCCACCCCACCCACAGCCAGCTCTGCACTCCACACCCTCCCCAGGAGCAGCCCCACCCAGCCTCTCTGATGAGGCCTGGCCCCACTCACCCTCACTGAAGGAGGCACGAGGGTTCGAGGCCTTGTATTCATCCCAATAGTAGCGCAGGGCGGAGATCAACCGGTGCAAGAAGCAGACCATGTACTCGGGGGGGCAGAGCACGGGCATGTTCTGCAGGTACACGACACGCATTCGTGCCGGCCCAGAGCCAGCTCACTCCTCATCCGAGGCCAGCCCCAGGACCCTGAGCAGAGCACGGAGAGCAAGGCAGCAGAGGAAGAGCAAGACGAGGTGGGGACGCGGCAGGCGGAGAGGTGCCAGCAGGTTGCCGACTGGACAACACAGCCAGGGGGTCCGCGGTGGGCTGGCCTACTGGACACTTACCCCCCGGCCACTGGCATTCTCCTGTAGAAACTTCCGGAACTTGGTCAGGAAGATGTACCTAGAAGCTTCACCCTTTGGTGGGGGGCAGTGGGGATGAAAAAGGAGGCTGTGAGCAGCTGGCCCTGGTGTGGAGGACTAGCTCAGTGCTATGCCTTAGCCTGGGCCCTGCCATGGGAACGTGAGCTGGTGCCTGCCCTCTAGGCCTCAGGGCCCAGTACCAGCACCCCTCCCTGCCAGGGACCCACACGGGGGTCTGGGAGTCACTCACCCCATTATCATCTTTATTGTTCAGCAGCAGCTTCAGGATCTGGACCTGCAGTTCTTCCACCACTGGGGGGTGGGGTGGGGAGGGAAACATGACATTGAGGCTCCCAGGGGTGAGAGCGGACGGTAGGTTTGGACTGGGGCTCCACTCCCAGGGTCCCACAAGCCCAGTCTAGACATGGTCATTACCAAGGGCCCCTCTGCACACACACACACAAATCCTCCACCCCCCACTCAGTGCCCCAGGCAGGGGACCGACCTTCGATGCGCTTCTTGAGCCTTTGGCAGCCCCGTTCATAGGCACGCCTCCGCACGCGCTCCTCGGCAGTCTCATCCTTCACATCCTTACTGTCTTTGCCCTGGGCAGGGGCAGGGGATGGAAGACAACAGGGCTCACCCAGGACTTAACCGGGCCTACTTCAGACAGGAGACCCCCAGCCTCCGCCCCACAAGCCAGGCCGGGGAAAGGGCCCCACGCACTCAGCGCCAGCTGGCTCAGACAGCCTGGGCCAGCCCGCACCTGACCCTGCCCACCCAGCTCAGGGGGCCCACCTCCCTGCTGGAGCGGTGGGGCCACCAGGTGGTGGGAATGAGCTCCTGCAGACCAGCCTCCTCCACTCGCAAGGGGCTCTTGATGTAAAAGAAGACGACAGACCGGAGCACGTCGAAGCTGGTGGTCGTCAAGGCAGAGCTCTGCTCGCCGAAGGTGCACTATATGCCCTCAGGAGTCCTCTCTGGGAAGCCCTCCCCAAACCCGCCCATTCCCTGATGTGCCCACCACGTTCTCCCACCCTTAGGGGTACAACGCTGCTATAAGGCTGGCTCCCCCAACCCTGAGCCCCGATGAAGAGCCGTGCCTATCTAGACCCTGTTCAGCCTGATTCCCAGCAAATGGATGAGAAAGGCTGGTCACGGGAAATTAAGACTGAGGCACAGGCTGGAGAGAGGACCTGGCCGTCTCCCTGTCTCCCAGCTGTGTCTGCCTCCTGGAGGCTGAAGACCCCAGACGGAGAAGACAGCTACCAGGCCAGGCTTCTCTGCCAGGGCCCTCCCTGCTGTGACACAGTCCCCAACACGGCTGAGCAGCAAGGAGAGCGGACCCTACAAGATCTCGTAGGAACCCCCGCTGTAGGGCCTGGATAAGCAGCAGCGCTCTGGCTGCAGAGATTAGGGCTGGTGGGGCCGCACACCCCCTCATGGTGCCAGCGTCTGCCGCCATATGGAAAGCCCTGCTCAGGCTGGCCAGCTGGCCAGGGCCCTTTGTTCTCCCCCATGCACTGGCTGGCTCCGGTCCCAAGCCTCTCCAGGAACCCCTGGCCGGAGGTATACCGCCCTCCCTGACCTCTACCCAGCCCAGAGGACCCCACCCATCCACCTGGCTTGTGGCAAGGGGAGGATACAGGACGTTGCTGAGCAGAAACTTGCGGGACTTCTCATGCCTCAGGATGGCAATGGTGAGCCGCAGGTAGTGGATCTGTGGGGAAGGGGGTGTTCAGAGTGGGCGGCTGCGGCCCAGTGGGCGCAGGGCAAGGGCAGGTGCTCCCACCTGTAGGCCCAGGTCCGGGACGATGGGCGAGAAGCGGTAAAGCCGCAGCAGGGACATCATCAGCTGCTTGAGGCAGTCCTGCACCTCGTAGTCCTAGGGGAGGGAGGCCACACTGCACACCTGCCCAGCGGAGGCCAGGCACCAGGACGGCCACCCGCAGGCCCTTTGCCGAACCCTTCCCGCACCTCCCCCGTCTCTGTGGAGCCTGACCTGCCGGCCTGAGGCCGGCAGTCAGGAGCCTCACCTCCATGAAGAGCCACAGGAGGTCGAGGACCTGACGCACCACAGCCTGAGCCTGTGCGGGGCTGCCCGCCTCCACGACGCCGCGCAGGAAGCTCACGAGCACGGCCTCCACCAGGTACACCTTGCGCTGCACCGAGGGTGGGCATGGGTGAGGTGGCGGCCCCCACCCCACTCCCGGCACCCCAGCCCGGGAACGTGGCCCCGGCCACAGGCACAGATAGACTCTCAGGCCCACTTGAGTGACCCCAAGACAGAGATGAGCACTTCCAGGGTCTGAGCGAGACACAAGGACGGCTCTGGCCCTGGATCTCCTCAGTGCTTTGCACACACGGGTCCCTTAGCCGGCGACGTCACTCGCTGTCCACCTTCAAAGGCCTCCCCCAATGCCCGCAGCTGGAAGCATCTTGTCCTCCCCCGGGTCACATCCTGACCCTCATGCACCTCAGCTCCCCAGCCCCCAGCACAGGCACTTCTCCCAGTCCGCCTCTGCCCCCCGCCCCGATGTCCCCTCACCAGGAGCGGTGCGAAGCGATGGAAGATGTGGGCCAGCGTGAGGAGGACGGTGGGCTGGCCTTGCAACTGCCACTCGGAGCTGTCCTTCTCCACCAGCCGGCCTTCCTGCATGGGGGTGGGGGAGGATGGTGAGGCGCAGAGGGGGGCAGAAGGCCCCTGGCTCGCCTGGCCCAGACCCCAGCTCACCACAGGGTCCAGCTCCACGCTGAGCACTGCCCGGAAGCAGCCCAGCAACTTCTGAGCCCGCACCAGGTCAGCGCGTGGCGGGTCCTGCAGGGGCCGGTAGCCTGCCACTGGGTAGGTAGCACAGAGTTAAGCTGGCAATACCTGATCTGTGGCTCCAACGCCCCCACCCCTCTCCCCAGAGACCCCCAACGAGGTGCCTGAGCCCTGGCGCAGTGCAGCAGAACTCTCCTTCTCTCTCTGTGGGATGCTGCTTCTCCCGCCGCTTCCTGTTCTTCTCTCTTCCACACTGGTGACAACGGTACCCCCCTTACGAGGCTGGCACAAGAATTGTGCTCCCCGGCCCCTACCTAAGCTGTACCCTCCCCTCTCCTCACAGCAGCTATGGCCCACAACCAACCCATGGAACTCCCTGGGGCAGGGAGCCCCTCATCCCAGTTTCGAGAGCTTCCATGCAGTCCACAGACATCTTCCCAAAAGGATATCGCAAGGGACGGCTGCCAAAGTTGAAGGCCACGGACTCCTTGAAGGAGAGGCTGATGGCTGGGAAGTAGGCCATGCCCAGGCCTCTGGACAAGTTCTCAAAAGCGGTGCCCAGTGACACGCCATTCCTAGAGCAGAAGGGAAGGCCTGTGAGCCAGTGCTAAGAATGATGCAACCGAAACAAACCAGAGAGTCAGGCCCTGCTGCAGGTCTCCACCTTCAGGCTACCAAAGTCGGCCTGGCCCCCTTACGGGGACTGGGAAACTGAGGGCAGCTCAGGGAGAGCCCAGAGCCCAGGCTTGCAGGTAGAGGCAAGAGACTCACAGGCAGAAGGACAGGGTGCCATCGTCCAGGTCGATGAGGCAGCTCACGATGTCCCCCGCTGCCCATGCCTGTCGGGGGGGGAGGAGGCCTTACAGATGCACAGAAGCCCGGCAGCCTGCCCACTCTGCCCCCGAGGCTGTGTCTCCACTACCGCCCAGGGGAGGGGACCATAAGTACAGAGGACCTGAGTCCCTGCCCCGCCCCATGACCAACAGTGTCTCGTGGCTGCCCAGTGATCCTGCCGAGCTGTGAGGATGGACGTGGGCAGGTGGGCAACGGGTCTCAGTTCTCACCTTGCCATAATTCGTCGTGGTCACATTCCACTTGCGCACCCGGTTGCCATCATAGGCGTAGGAGTTGTGCGTATCTCCGACCCCCTCCTAAGGAAGAAGTGTGTGTAAGGTCCAAGGGAGGCGGGTAGGAGCAGGGCCAGAGCCCACTGGCCATAAGCCTCGGACCCACAGAGCTGTAGAGAAAGGGGCTAATGCTCTGAGACATGGAGTGATTTCCTGGGCCAAGTGGCCCTAGGAAGGGGTGGGACGCAGTCCTCCTCCAGAGGGCACGTCTGGGTGACGGTCCTGAGCCCGGATGAGGCCAGCAAGGGGGAGGGGCCTCTCCCATGCACACACACCTCCTGATTGAAACGGCAGTTGATGGTGCACCAGCCAATCTGCATGAGCCCCTGGGAGGAGATGAGCACCTCGTAGACCCATTTCCCTGGAAGAAGCTAAGTCAGGCCTAGCAGGCAGATCAAGACTGTGTCCCGCCTCAGACCTGGGCCCACAGAGCCCCTTCCCATGAGCCGGGCCACAGCACAGCGTGGTCTCACCTTTGTACACGCATGTGGTAGAGCGGATAGTACCGAAGTTGCTGTGTCCAATCACCTGGGTGAAGAGCGGGGAGGGTGAGCCTCTCCCGCACGCAGACAGCCTCCCCGAGGGGGAAGGGCCCCATCCCCAACCCAGCTGGTGTTGTCAGAAGGGATTCTAGGTTAGGAGAGTGACGGGAGGGCCTCATAGCTGTCCTGGGGAGAGCTTGGGGCCAGAGTCACATCCAAAAGGTTTTAGGGCTATGTCAGGAGGGCGTCGGGCCTGAGGATTCAAGGAACCCATCGGGAACGGTTTGTGGCTACAGCCCCACAAAGAAAAGGTAAAGAGCCCAAGGCCACATCAGGAGGAATTTGGGGCTGTCAGGAGGGGCTTGGACCTGGAACCCCTCGCCTTGCCCTCACTCACCCCTAGGAGGTCATCGTCCACCAGAAGAAGCCCCTCGAAGCCACCTGTGTGGTCTAGGACCACAGTGGATGGGCCAAGCCGCCCTTCAACCTGTCCTGAAGAGGAGAGGTAAATGTGGGGTTGGGCAGGGCACAGGATCTGACAGGAGGCACAGAGGGCAGGCCCAGGACACCCTGAGCCCAGCCTGGCTCCCCCACTCCCATCCCAGAAACTGCTACATACCCTGGCTCTCCTCATCTTCATCCTCCACATGTAATAGCTGGTCCAGATGCTCTGGCAGGTTCTGGAAGTTCAGGGGTTTCCTGGGGAGAGCGAGAGGCTGCGAGGGGCCCAAAAGTCCTTGAAACCAGCCAGAGGACACTAAACCCCTCTCCCGCTCCCACTCCTCTGAGCGTCAGACAGTGGCTGCCCAGACTCCAGTAAAGGCGTTGTGCCTAGTCCTAGGTTCTGCCATGCTGCGGGCCAGAAGGCTGGATTATCCGCTAAACTAAGAAGTACTAGTCCAGTGTGGTGTACCTCAGGGCTTAAAAAAATAAAAAAAGGAAAAGAAGAGCCCTCCTTCAGCCTTAATCCCTTCATCGGTAAAGAGGGAACAAAAGCTCTAGGTCAGAGAGGCAGGGAAGATTCCAAAGCATAACGTGTGCTCCCTGCATAGCCCATAACCCCCCTGCCCTCAAAGGGGACTCCGGTGATTCGCCTGGAAGAGGAAGGCTGGGAGAAGTACTGGTCCCCGGTGGCCTGTACCAATGACAGCTACATCGGCCCTTGACCCCAGGCCTGCGGTCCCAGCCAGGGAATTCTGTGCCAAATGAGACAGGCCTTAAGGAAGATGAAGGACTGAGCCCTCTACGCTGCTGGCTGGCTCTGTCCTGTACCCACCTGAACAGGCGGAGAGCACACGGCCTGCCAATCTGCCATTTGCCCCAGCCAGAGGGGCCCCCTTATCCTCCCAGTGCACATGCTCAGAGGATAAAGGCCTCTGCATGATGCTGGCCAGCTCTATCCTGAGTTCAGCTTCTAAGAATAGCAGAGAACGGGGTGGCAGTAATTAGCAGGGCTCGAGTAGAACAGAGACCGGCACCGATCTGGGTCCAGCCCACAGATGGGTGGCACCTGCTCTGCCGCCTCTGGTCCCAGCTCCTTCCCCTTTCACTGGCCCAAACCGGTAGGCTCTAGAAGGGGACAGAGATGGGCCAAAGCACCCACTCTCTGGCAAGGTAGCGTCAACCCAGCCTCACATGCCAACCACGTGCTCCCCTGCCATGAGCTCCTACTAAGCTACGGGAGGTAGAGAGGCACGAAGCCTCCTCTCCCCATCCCTGCTAAACCCTAAGCCAAGGCCAGGTGGTGGCCATGCCATGGAGTGCCCCACCAATAGCATGGAAAGTTTCGGCCAACCTCATGTCTGAAGACCCCAACAGGCCCAGGGATCAAGGTTGCCATTGGGGCAGTGCTTATGGGCTCCCACTGGGGAGGGCTGCTCTAGTTTTGTGCCTGTTCTCAGGAGAAGCTGGGGGAAGCCGGTCTGAGACTCAGCACTGCCCTCTGGCCAACCTGGCACTTGTCTGTCCTTTCTAGATTGCCTAGGTCCCGGGCCCAGGGCTCCGCATCCACACAAGCGCTGAGTGATGGCCCTGCCACCTGCTCTCCCTCCTGGCAGCCAGAGAACCAGTGGCGGCATGACCATTTCTGATATCACATGAGGGAGGGATCAGATGGCCTTGGGAAGAGGCCAGGACCAGGGCTGGCATGGAGGTGGGCAGTGGCCCTCCAGACGTGGGAATCCCATGGCCACCAAAGCCACTTAAATGGAACGGGCAGCAGTGCCGTCCTTTGTGCCTGCCCAAAGAGCAGAGACCATGGAAGACCAAATAGGCCAGCTGGCAAGGGGGCTGAGAGGCAGGGACACCCAAGCCTCACCGCAGGAAGGCAGAATCCATGCGATCCTTGAAAGAAGGAACTCAGCCATAGTCTTAAAAATGATTGCAGTTCAAATGGTCCAGCCACATGACTCCAACCCTCGGCATCTTCACAGCACTGTTCACAAAAATAACCCCTCCAAGCCAGGGGCGGCGCTAAAGGCCACAGCAGACCCCTGGTCTTAAGAGATACCCACCAAGATTTGGAATACAGAAATAAAGACGCACTCAGGGCAAAAGGTTTAATGACAAAGATAGGATCTAAACTTCCATATACTTCTAGAGGTGAGGGATCTGTCCACTAGCTTGATGGCAGTGACGTTTTCACAGGTTATCTAGATTAAAGCTTACTGTATTCTACCCTTTAAATACACGTAGCTTATTGCACGTCAATCATTCTTCAATAAAACTTGTTTTTGTTTTTTAAAGAACTAAAGGTGGGGGTGTCTGGGTGGCTCAGTCAGTTAAGTGTCCAGCTCTTGGTTTCAGCTCAGATGATGATCTCAGGGCCGTGAGATCAAGCCCTGCATTGGGCTCCACGCTCAGCACAGAGTCTGCTTGAGATTCTCTCCCTCTCCCTCCCCTATCTCATGGGCTCACTTGCTCGTGCGCTCTTTCTCTCTAAAATAAAAATAAAATCTTAAAAAAGAAAAACAACTGAAGGTGACGGAAATTTTAAAAAATTTCTATACAGTACAATCTAAACGACATACATCACAAGATAAGGAAACCAGAAAGGAAACACACTCACGTGATCATGTCAGAATAACAAAATAACAGATTTTTTTTTCTTTTTCTTCTAAGTTTCTGCTCAGGTGCACTTGTAACTTTGATAGGGACTAAGCTTAAACGCACTCAGCTTGCAGGGCAAAGGGACTGGTATGGTCTGTACCTTATAGGTTCAGGCAGAGGCTACAGAGGAGCGGGATGGGACCAAGGGTGGGCAGGTGCACACACACAGCAGATGCGGACCAGGGAGGGGGAGTGAGCCGCTGTCATAAGGACTGAACGTGCACCACCTCCCCAGCCTCCATAAGCCCCTCAGAAGGAAGACACTAACAGCCAGGGGAGAGGAAGAAGCAGAGTCTGGAATGCAGACTCTCTGGCCAGAGATCTCACAGCCGGGGGCGGCAGAGTGAGAACAGAACCCAAGCCAGCCTACCCAGAGCCTCTGGTCTGGTCCTTCAGAGTGAGGCACCACCCATGGGGCCGTACCTGCTGGCGGCCGCAGCGGGCGCATGCTCAGGAGAGGAAAAGATGCGGTGCAGGTAGTCATTCAGTAGCTTCTCGTGCACGATGCCTGTGCCACAGGACAGAGGGAGAGAAGGGTCATGTGGTCAGTGCAGCTCCCAGACTGTGCTGGCCCTCAAGGGGTCAAAAAAACAGTCACGTTGGGTGTTCTTCCAGGTACAAGGGGTGCAGCAAGGCCTGAAACTCATGAGACCCGGGACTTTACTGCCTTGGTCTTTTCTTTCCTCCCTCAACACAAGGAGCCTCCTCCCAGCCCTGCCAGCCCTTACCTGTGACCCTGGACTTCTCAGCGTCTGATGTCAGCCTATAGCTCTTGCGGGAGAAAGACATGCTGGACCCCTTGGATGCCATCCTTCATCTCTTGTGGGCAGCCAGCGGTCCTAGGGGGGCTGAGTCAGAGGCAGAGTCTGTCTATCTGAAGCCAGCCGAGGGACCCCATAATGACCTCAGTTCTGGGGTGGCAAGAAGGCCTGGGAGCAGGTGAGGCCAGGTGCCCGCATATTTACAAACCAACCAACCCCAGGGCACAGGAAAGCAGGGGCCTCCCAGCTTTCTACACAGGGAGGGTGGATGGGGCCTGGACCCCCCAATGTTCCAGGGCTTAGTACGGAGCCCGAAAGAGAGTAGTTATCACATATAGGTTTATTGCACCAAACCGAATGTCTCAACCCCAGAAAAAAGACCCAAGTGTCCAAAGTGAGGTGGCCTAGAGACAGAGAGACCCTGTTTCCTTCTCAGCTCTAAGTCACACTGGGTCTAGCTCACATCCAGTAGAGAGAACCCTATACCACCTTTCCCCCTAGTGTGGTCCATCACCCAAGGGCTTGGTGCTGTCTCCAGCTCTAAGTCCTGCTGACACCTAAATCCAGGATCTTTCTTCCCTTCTCTTGTCCAAAAGCCTGCTAGTTTTCTTCTTCCCACTCGCATGCACAGCCTTTCACCCCATCAGAGCACCACCCTCACCCAGTGGTCATTGCAGACCCTGCTGCTCTTCCCACTGCTGTCCACCCCACACATGTCCTGGTGTTGCTGCAGCTGCTTCAGAAGATGCACTAAGTCGCTGGTGACCTCCTCCTCAGTGATCTGGAGCCCTGCTGTCCACCGCAGTAGCCGCTAGCCACGTAGGGCTATTTACATTTGAATTAAAACTTAAACATTAAAACTCAACTTCACATATTAACCACATTCCAAGAATTCGGTAGCCACATATGGTTAGCGGTTACTGTACCAAACACTGAAAATATAAAACACTTCCATCATCACAAAAAGTTCTATTAACTCTAGTCTGGTGCCCGGCCTTCTAGCACTGCCTTAGACTGCACTCCCATCTCTGCAGCCCAGTTCCTTATCTCACTTCACACAGGTCCTCTGTTCCCACCACACACCCTTGCCCATTCACGGTCCGCACCACGCCTGCCCCTCGGGAAGGTGACTGTTCTGCCTTGGCGCCTATGCCTGCGACGGGCCCTCCGCGGGCGTCCATGACCGCTGCCCCTCTCACACCACAGTAGGTGCGGGGCAGATTAGAGCCGGTCACTCATCTGATCGGCAAACCTTCCAGACATCCACTCCGGGTGTCAGGTGCTGAAGACCCCGGTGATAGGCGGACTTGACGTTGCTCAGGGATTCCCTGCCACGTCGATCCTGTCCAGCCCCGCCGAGGGATCGGGGCTCAGAACGGAACCGACCCCTTCTCGGAGTCCAAGGACGCAGAGAGCAGCGCATGTCTCCCCCAAGTCGCCCCCGCCCGGCCCCAAGCTCCACAGGATCCTCCCAGCCAGCTCCAACCCGGAGTCTCGCATCACAGGCTGCAACCCCTGAGCGGCGAGCACTCTCATACTGGGCCGGCTGCGGCCGGGAGGGGAGCCCCAGGGACCCGCCCCGCGCGGAGCCGGGCCGCCCCTCACTCACCCCCAGCCTCCGCCGCGGCGCCCCGGCTCACAACATCCGCCCAGCCTCTCGTCTACGGCGCCCGTCTAGGGCCAAACCGCGCGCTCATCGCGCACGCGCATCGGCTCGCGCCCGGCTTCCGCGCGAGGGAGCCCCCTCGCGGTCTCCAGCCGGGTCATTCCCGGCGTCGGCCTCGACCCACAGCCCAACCGCCTCTGACCCCCGCCTGTGCAGAAGCTCCTAGCTCATCCCGGGCCGAGCACCACGTCCTAACTGGGAGCCCCAGGCAGCTTATCTCAACTGCCACCTGTACTGGGAGGCCTGCCCCAGAGAATCCTAGAACATTTGAAAGGCTACCTGCCAGGGTCCCTGCTGTCTGTCACTCCCGCTTCCGTTCAGGCCGGACAGGTGGCCTCGCTTACCTTTCCTGGGATGGCACCTGTGACGTGGCGAGGGGAGCCTCTCTGGCTTCTGCTGCCAGGGGTGTGGGCTGACTTGCCTACAGCTGGGGCTGATAAGCCAGCAGAAGGGGCAGTCTGCTTTGAGGCTGGGTCAGGGAACATTTGCCACTTTACAGGGAAAAGCTGAGGCTTAGAAAAGATTAGTATCACACCACCCAGCGGCTGGAACCCAAGCCTCTGACACCAATCATGTCCACAGCACTCTTCTCTTCAGAGCAACATAGGCTGCAGAGGGTCTCCAACCCCACTCCAAGGTACATCAAGTGTCCCCGCTGAACACCTGCCCGCTACACAGGGCAGGGGCTAACTGTGCCAGGGTGAGGGCCCTTGCATTTCACCAAGGGGGCCTGAGGCCTGGATCTACCCCCATTGTGGCCACTGGGTCTTAGGTCAGGCTCCTGTAGGCCTCGAGTTGGGGCGGGAGTGTGGGGGTGGGGGTGGAGGCAGAGCCACCCAATCCCACAGCGACAGGTTTCACAACTTCCCGGATAGGGCTGTGGTGGGTCACAGTGCAACCTCCAGCCAGGAGCATGGGGTGGCTCCCACTCCTGCTGCTTCTGACGCAGTGCTCAGGGGTCCCTGGTGAGTGCCCCCCACCCTGATCCCCATTTGCCTTCAGGAAGGTATCATCCCTGGGCCCATCCTGCTATTCAAGGCAGGTGCTCTGTTTTCTACTGGTCATGGAGCGAAGAGTGCTCTTGGCTTCTTGTGCAGAGCGGGGCTGCCCCAGGAATACATAGAGACACTGCCTATTCCGGCCTGTGTTAGAATGTTTGCTGTAGCACGAGGCAGTGTGGGAACTGCATAGATGCACGCACACATGCAGGCAGTTACCCTAATGAGCCTAATCTAAGCTTCTAACCTAGCATATGCCCCCGTGCTGATGGAAGGCCAGACTTGGAGGCAGAATGCCTGGGTTGGGCATTCTGTACATGGGCTCCCACTAGGGGGCGCTGCCTGTGTACTAGGACAGCTCTGAGCCTTAAGGCGTTCTCAGCTGAGAGATGAAATTGGCTTCCTAGGGCAAGCACCATCACCCACCGCTCTCATTATAGTGCAGGTTTTAGACCTGGGCCTAGTGCCTTGCCCAGTAAACATGACCACTGGTGGTAACCACTATGTCTGGGCTTCTCCCACTCTGTACAGGGTCCATCCCAGAGGCCTTGTAGCTTTGATCCCCTGAATGAAGTGTGGATGTGCCAAAATCAATGTACTGACATGCATGCCCACCCCCGCAGGGCAGCGCTCGCCCCTGAATGACTTCCAGGTGCTCCGGGGTACAGAACTGCAACACCTGCGACACACGGTGGGGCCTGGTCCTTGGCAAGAGGATGTGGCTGATGCTGAGGAGTGTGCAGGGCGCTGCGGGCCCCTACTGGATTGCAGGTAAGTGACCGCAGGACGTAGATAAGATCGGGTGGCGGGTGAACCTGGGCGACCTTGTGCCTCGTCCTCCCAGGGCCTTCCACTACAATGTGAGCAGCCATGGTTGCCAGCTGTTGCCATGGACCCAGTACTCACCCTATACACAGCTGCAACGTTCGGGGCGCTGTGACCTCTTCCAAAAGAAAAGTAAGTGGCTGTGGAGAACGTGGGCCAGGGATAGGGCACGGAGGCCTCAGGCCGTGTTGACAACGGGTCTCTTCCAGACTACGTGCGAACCTGCATCATGGACAATGGGGTCAAGTACCGGGGCACAGTGGCCATCACCACTGACGGCCTACCCTGCCAGCACTGGAGCCAAAGATTCCCCAATGACCACAAGTAAGACAGACACCTCCCCTCTGTCCCTGCCCGGCCCTGCGCCTGCCCCCAACTCCAGCACGCACTCAACTGCTGCTCTCTTCCCCAGGTACACGCCCACACTCCGGAACGGCTTGGAGGAGAACTTCTGCCGCAACCCAGACCGGGACGCCGGAGGTCCCTGGTGCTACACGACAGACCCTGCAGTGCGCTTCCAGAGCTGTGGCATCAAGTCCTGCCGGGAGGGTAAGCGGCTCTGGGTCAAGACTGAAGGAACATGCCCACGCCCGTCTACGAGCCCACCGGCCTTGTCTTTGCAGCCGCTTGCGTTTGGTGCAATGGCGAGGATTACCGCGGCGCAGTGGACCGCACCGAGTCGGGACGCGAGTGTCAGCGCTGGGACCTGCAGCGTCCGCACGCGCACCCCTTTGAGCCCCGCAAGTGCGTGTAGGCGGGCTCCGCATCGCTGGGCCGGGCTAGGGGAGGGCCCAGGACTCCAAGGGCGGAACCCGAGAAACGGCAGGGGCCACACTGGTCCTGAGCGCCAGGGGCTTGTTCGCGCCCCGCTGCGCCCTCAGGTTCCTTGACAAAGATCTGGACGACAACTATTGCCGGAATCCTGATGGGTCCGAGCGGCCCTGGTGCTATACCACCGACCCACAGGTGGAGCGAGAGTTCTGCGACCTCCCCCGCTGCGGTAGGGCCCGAGGGCGGGGCCTGGGAGGGCACCTGGGAAACGTGGGGGGCGTGGCCTGCCTGCGGAGAGAGGAGTGACTGGGCGTGACCCGGCCGTGGACCCCCGGGAGTTGAACTCAGCCTCCGCCCCAGCCGCGCTCTCAGCTCCCACTCGGGCTCTGTCCCGTCCATCCAAGGGTCCGAAGCACAGCCGCGTCAGGAGGCCACGACTCTCAATTGCTTCCGCGGGAAGGGCGAGGGCTACCGGGGCACGGCCAACACCACCGCCGCGGGCGTGCCTTGCCAGCGGTGGGACGCGCAGAACCCACATCGGCATCGTTTTGTTCCAGAGAAATACGCTTGCAAGTGAGGTGGCGGGCCGCCGCTGGGGGGGCGTACCTTTGCAACTGGAACTTCTGGAGTGGGGTCCCGGGGCGGGGCTTGAAGGAAGGCGGGGTCGCGGGGGCGAGCGGAGGGAGGCGGGGCTCCAGCCCGAGGCTGGCTGGCTGGTGGGCTCGCCCCACCAAGCGCTGAGAGGAAGCACCCGCCCAGGGACCTTCGGGAAAACTTTTGCCGGAACCCCGACGGCTCTGAAGCGCCTTGGTGCTTTACGTCGCGGCCTGGCATGCGCGTGGCCTTCTGCTACCAGATCCCGCGCTGCGCCGACGACCTGCGGCCCGAAGGTAAGGCCCAAGCTGGGACTGGAAGCTTGGAGCCGAAGGGCTGGGGTGAGAACCCGCTAACTGCCGCCCCGGCCCGCCTCAGACTGCTACAACGGCGTGGGGGAGCGGTACCGCGGCTCGGTCAGCAGGACCCGCAAGGGCGTCGCGTGCCAGCACTGGTCTGCGGAGAAGCCGCACAAGCCGCAGTGAGTCGGTCGGCGCGCCCGACCCCTCCCGGACAAAGGCCATAGGCTCCCACCGGGCATATAGCCCTAGGGCGGCACGCCGTTGACTCCAACTGGAGCCCTGCGGGGGTTGGGGATTACCCTGCTAGGACACTGAGTCCTCTCCCGTCCAGGTTCACACCCACCTCCGCCCCCGACGCGCACCTGGAGGAGAACTTTTGCCGGAACCCGGATAGGGATAGCCATGGGCCCTGGTGCTACACTGCAGACCCTGGGACTCCGTTCGACTACTGTGCACTTCGGCGCTGCGGTAAGCAGGACACTCCCTCGGGGCCCGCCCCCTGCCTCCGCCTTTGAAGGCGGGCTTTCTCAACGCAGGTGAACTTGGTTCTTTCAGATGCTGACCAACCACCGTCCATCCTGGAGCCCCCAGGTATGCACTTGGGCCAGGCATGGGTTGGGGCCTCTTGGGGGCCTCCATCCATCCAGTTTCCCGAGGTCCATCTATCCCCCAGACCAGGTGGTGTTTGAGAAGTGTGGCAAGAGGGTGACCCGCTCGCACCAGCAGCGGTCTAGGCTGCGTGTGGTGGGGGGCCAGCCTGGGAACTCGCCCTGGACAGTCAGTTTGCGCAATCGGTGAGGCACAACTCCCTCTCCCTGAGAGAGGCTGAGGGGATAGCCGTATGACCTCTGCGCTTATGCCAAGGGAGTGGGAACCTGACCTGTCCCTGGCCTCAGGGGTCCTAGCCGAGAGATGGCAAGTCCAGCCTGTGTCCCAGAACTCACTGTTCCCTCCTAACCTCTAATCCTCCAGGCAGGGCCAGCATTTCTGTGGGGGTTCCCTAGTGAAGGAGCAGTGGGTACTGACTGCCCGCCAGTGCTTCTCCTCCTGGTGAGCCTCCCCTGGGTATGGGGACCCCATCCCACCCCTCTGCCTTCATCTGCCCCTTAGCTACCTTTCCCAGGTGAGCCCTGGGGCAGCAGACTATGAGTCATGACTGATCTAGCAGAGCTTCTCCCCCAGCCATGTGCCTCTCATGGGCTATGAGGTGTGGTTGGGCACCCTGTTCCAGAACCCACAGCCGGGGGAGCCAGGCCTACAGCAGGTCCCAGTGGCCAAGATGGTGTGCGGGCCCTCAGGCTCCCAGCTTGTTCTGCTCAAGCTGGAGAGGTGTGTGACAAGTCAAGAGGTGTGTTTGGGGGGGGGGGGGGCTGAGCCTTGTGGGCTTACATGCTGAGTACCCTCATTCCCATTAAAGACCTGTGACCCTGAACCAGCGAGTAGCCCTGATCTGCCTGCCCCCTGAGCGGTATGTGGTGCCTCCAGGCACCAAGTGTGAGATTGCAGGCTGGGGTGAGACCAAAGGTAAGAAAGAACAAGGTGCAGGGGCGTGGACTACCCCAGGCCAGGAGGCCCTCTCCTCCTCCCCACTCTTATCACTGTAGGTACAGGGAACAATGAAGTTCTAATTGTGGCCTCGCTGAACGTCATCTCCAACCAGGAATGTAATGTCAAGCACCGAGGACGTGTACGGGAGAATGAGATGTGCACTGAGGGACTCTTGGCACCTGTGGGTGCCTGTGAGGTCAGTGCTGGGGTACCCATTCTTAGCTCAGGGAGGGCCTGGGAACTGGAAAATGTACTACTTTATCCCCAAGGAGGCTAGTGTCTGCCTTGGCCCAGGGCGCCCTTACCAGTTCTTCCATCTACCAGGGTGACTACGGGGGCCCACTCGCCTGCTTTACCCATGACTGCTGGGTCCTGGAGGGAATTATAATCCCCAACCGAGTGTGCGCCCGGCCCCGATGGCCAGCCATCTTCATGCGCGTCTCTGTGTTTACGGACTGGATTCACAAGGTCATGCGGCTGGGCTAAGCCCAACTTCAATCCCATGTACTTTGGAGAGTACAGAGCCTCCTGTCAGACATAAAGCTGCCTCTCCTCTTTACACCCGTGCAGGGTGCTTCTTAGCCTCTGCTGGGAAATCCGTCGGTGTAGGCCCTTCCTAGGGCCTAGGCGGCTCAAGGCTGGCACAGCTGGGCTGGTAGACCTCATTTTAGGACTGCTTTAGCCTGTAGGCGATCTGGAAGGGCAGGTCCTCACTAGTTCCCTAGATAAACTGCTGGTAAGAGGAGGGTGTTGTAGGGCAGTTTCCTAACAGAAGGGGGCCAGAGCAGAGGGAGCTAAGCCCGGTGAGATCCCAGTTGACCTTGACAGGCAGCGGCTGAGCCTCTCACTGTCCCCTCCCCCTCACACTGCAGGTGGGGGAGGTCCTTAAAGTTACCATGCCCAGGGCCTATGGCACTCTGAACCCCAACGGGGAGGCTGGGTTTAGGGATGGCTTGGTACAAAGTACCAGCAGGAGCCAGACTCTGTGTCCTCATTTATTATGACCATATAGCCTGCATTCCTCTGCTCACCCATCCAGGAAGTCCAGAACCCAGGAATCCTCTTGCCGATCTGCCAGACCCTGGGGCTCTCCAAGAGCGAAGTGTGGCTCATGCCAACCAGCTCATGCAGGGAAGCGGGGCTTCAGCTGCCCAAGTGCGCGTGCAGCCAGAGCACAGCATTCATGAAGCTGTCTGACTCCACCTCCACTTCTGAAAGTGCGTGGGTGCTTTTAGGATAGAGCAGGAGCCTGTAGTGGTTGTAGTGGCAATCTTTAAGGCTGGAGGGTTCTCCCCTGCTCACCTGCCCACCAGCTGTCAGGACTGTCCTGCTGCACTCACCTAACAGGCACGTTCCGAGCTTTGAGGGCACGGTAATACTCCATGCCCTGCTTGAAGGGCACACGCCGGTCCTCCTGGCCCAGCATCAGGAGCAGCGGGGTCTTCACCTGGGCAGGTGGGGAGTGGTGGTGGTGAGCCGGGCCCCGAGGCTCTGGACAGACTGGCAGCATCCGGAAAGGGGGAGGGCCACCTACCTGAGGGGTATACTTGATGGGGGACTTGTCCAGCATCTCGGCCCACACGCTGAGGTCTGGCAGGCAGTCGCTGCTGTAGGGGAACCCAGCCTCCACCACGCACCTGTAAGAGACGGCACTGAAGCTGCCCCAAGAGCCCTGGAGCTTGCGGGGGCTTCACTGTCGGGGAGGGGCAAGGCAACCCAGAGAAGGGCAGGCGCCTGTGGAGCACACCCACCAGTCAGGGATGTCGGTGGAGCCCATCATGGAGGCGATGTTGATCACAGGGTTCCTCGCCACGCAGGCACCATAGGTCTCAGGGTACTGACCAATCAGGTGGCAGGAGAGGAAGCCACCGTGGGAACCACCCATAAGAGCCACTCGGTCAGCATCAAAGTGTTCTTCCTGGAGCACCTGCTCTACTGCGAACTACAGGGTGGGGCAGAGAGTGCTGCAGCCAGCTGCCTCCCCACCCCCGAATGGAACACACCCCGACGGTTTACCCTCCAGCCGCCCAGAAGCCCCGGCCCCTGCTACCTGGACGTCCTTCACATCCTGGTGGCCCACGTTGCCGGGAAGGGAGAGGATGCTGTCCTGGCCAAAACCCGTGGAACCACGATAGTTCACTGGAGGCCAGGGAGGAACCAGACAGGGTGGTCGGTGACATGCCCGGCCCCATGGTCGCACTTTCAACCCATGTGAAGCAGGCCTTGGGGCCGGCTGCTCCATGGACTCTCAAGGCACTGGGCCAAGAGACTTGAGGCTGTTGTCCAGTGACCACAGCACCCTCTGCGTGGAAGTCCCTGGTAATGGCTGCCAGGTCTGGGCTATATACAGGCCTAGAGACTTGGGTGGCACCTGTGGTGCCTGTCCCACCCTCTCCCCCTCCACAGCTCACCACTGCAGCAGGGTCCTGCTCACTCACCCAGGAGTACCGCAAAACCCATCTTGCAAAGCATGGCTGGGAAGAGCATCCAGGCAGTGACAAAGGATGAATGGGGTCCCCCTGCAGACATGGAGCAGAGAGTGAGAGCCAGCTAGGATGGGTAGTAGGAGGGCAGCAGATCTTAGACCAGATGCCTACCATGGGGCATGACCACCATGGGCACTTGGGTCTTATCGGGAGGGTTGCTGGGCTGCAGAAGAATTGCTTCAAAGTCAAGGCCAGCTGCAGGGAGAAAGCAGGAGTCAGCAGAGCCAGAGCCACCGCCCAGGGGGCTCTCCCAGCCGAGGCCTGAGCCGTAGCTGTAGGTCTGGGGCTGACATCTGAAAGAAAGATCTGGTCAAGGTAGCCTGCACCAAGACACCCCAGGAGGTCCTACTCCTGTCCTAACTGGGGAGTCCCACTCTGTCAGGACAGCATTCTGGGTGAGGTGTGATGGTCAGAGGCCTCAAGTAAGGTGGTGTGTTTGGGTCTTGGTTTCCCCACCACAGAGCATTTGGCCTGGTGATGCCCAGCTCCGATTCCCAGAGTAGGCACCCACATACCCATACCCAGACACTACTCCCCATGAGCATGCACCCTGGAGAACCCCATGAGAGAACCCCCGGAGGCACGGAAGGTGGCCACAGGTGCTGTGTGCTGGGGAACTTGGGATGTGTCTCTCTGCCCCAGCCCAGCTCACCATACTGCACGTTCTCTTGCTCTGGGGGTGGCTGCAATACCCGGATGGCCCAGGAGATGTCGGGAATAGGCTCGGCCTCCTCCAGGGACACCCATAATACTTCATGCTCCTTCCCTGCAGGAGGCAGGAACCCAACTTTCTGCCAAGGGGAAAGAGCGTGTCATGGGTGGCCTGGCTGCCTCCCTGCCCTTCCACCTCTGCCAGAGTGGGAGGCGGGCAGCTCTCACTCTGCTGGGCCTTCTACCCACCTCTGGAGCATACATCATAGACTCCTGTTGAGAGCTGGTATGTGCACAGGCACTCAACACATGAACACGCACCCTGTCCTCCTGAGCTTTTAGGCTCTGCTGTCTCCTTATGCTCCATTCTGCCGGAGGACCAGGCACTTTCCCAGGCACCCCGTTCTTTATAGAGCAGACCTACACCAGGTAGCTCCTCTCCATGGGCGCCAAACCCTTGTGGATCATGCCGGGCTGGGCCCGCGTCTTGGCTTCCCACATGCTGACCAGCCCCAGTCAGACGCAGGCCAGCTCCCTGACCTGGGGAGCTCGGCCTGCAGAGAACCCTCACCCGGTCTGGGGCCCAGCAACACTCACCAGACTTGGGGGCAGGCTGGGCGTGGAGAACTGTGCCACCATGAGGTCCTGGTCAATTGTGAGGAGTTTCCAGCTTCCACCTGACCCCCCTGGAGAAGGCAGATGCCACCACCTTTCCCACCCGCTCCCCGCACGGCCAGAGTCCCAGGCCAGTGGCTCTACGCCAGGGCGCCCCTTTCACCCTGAGAAGCAAATGAATACCCACAAAAAGACTGCCACAAACACCCCACTGCATGCAGCCCTGGGTGAGCCTCCTGATGAGTCCCTTGTTCAGCAGATGCCAACTAAGCCCAGGGACTGAAAACCCAGGGCCAATGGCAAACTGCCATGGCATGTCCATCCACGACTTCATGACTACAGTCTGCGGGGGCGGGATGGGGGGGGCGCAGCTAGGCCTTAGGGGGTTGGAGTGGTGCTGGTTTTGGGCCATGGGATTCATGGAGATTCTCCAGCATGGATGTATGATGTACAGTTTAGCAACAATACTCTGGAGTCTTTGTGGAGGAAGGACTACAGTTAGGGCAGGCAGAGGACTCAAAAGATGTTTTAGGGGCAGAATCACAGGCCCAGATAAGAGGCAGATGAGCAAGCCAACATAGGGTTTCTCAGGGGCCCTGGGATAGCAGAGCTGCCTCTGCCTGAGGTTTGGGAGGTCGGGGAAGGATGACTCTGGCAGATCTCGGCAAGAGATAATTTTGTAGGTTTGAGAAGCGGGGTGTGCTGAGGCAGGGCCAGGATGTGCAGAGCAGAGTGGAGCAGGGGAGGCAGTCTGCTGGCTGGGAAGGTCCTGCATGGTCAGGGTCCTTGCGAGATGCAGTAAAGGCTGCGGGATAGTCAGTGGTGCAGAGTGGCCAAGGGTGCCACTACTGCCCCATGGCCGGAGCTCCAGTCCCTCCCCTGGCCTGGCTGGGCTGCTCCCCAGCCCTGCTCACCAGCTGTCAGGGAGGTCACACTGCCCATCTGGGTGTCCACAACGAACAGGTCCTGAAGCAGAGGGGGAGACACATGTGGCACCACATCCGAGAGCCCTCTGGGCCCCTCCCCCCACCTGCTCTCTGCCCTTTTAGGGACCCCTGAGCCAGGCCAGGGCTATGAGCCACTATGACAATGGCTCCTCAGTTGCCACTGGTAGTGGTCTGGAGGCCTGGACTCAAATCCCAGCCCCATCGCCACTTGCAGAGGGACCCCAGGCAAGGCAAGGAATGGCACTGAGCCCCCGAGCTAGTGTAAGGAACAAATGATCTCACACTCAAAGAAAAAGCTTGGCATACTGTAGGTGTCCCTATCCAAGCCCTAGGAGGAAGCCTCTGTCCCATCTCCATCAGCCCCCCATATAGTGTTCGGGAGCCTACCTAGGGGCAGCACCCTGACTCCCAACTGGAAATGCCTGGGAGGAAGGGGAATTGTACCCCTGCATCAGGAGAAAAGGCCAAGGGCTCCGCTGTGGGGCATCAGGCCAGGCAAGCAGCCGGGCTCCTCAAGAAAGAGTCCAGGACAGGGGCAGATAGGGCCCAAAGGGGCTTGTAAGACCTTGGGGCTGGGCATTACACCAGCAGTGTGCAGAGGCTACACCCTAGGCCCAGGGCTCCTGGAGGTTGATCAGTGGGGCTGTGTCTCAACATGAGGCTCCTTACCTGCCGGCTCCGCTGAGCTGAGTCAAAAACCACTCTCTGGCTGTCAGCTGACCAGCATCCCAAAGGCAGAAGGCTGCAGTAGATCCCAGAGAAGTTCTCTGCAAAGATAGGAGGGCTGAGGCCACGTGCAGCAGTGGGGGTGTGGGAGGTCAAGCCTATGAGGCAGGCTGGGCTGCTGGGAAGCTCCCTCCAGGGCCCCTGTAACTGTGACAGAATGACAGTCCTACACACGGCAGGGCGGTGGCTAGATGATGAGGAGCTGCCTGAAGAGGGAGCTGGGAGAAGAGGCCTCTGAGGGCCCGGGAGAGGCAGAGCTCAAGCGCTTCTGAGAAAAACCATTGCTGCTTGGAAGAAATGCACTGGCTCTCCTATGAGCTGCTCTCACCGAGACCCTGGTAGGCACCGAGTGCTGTAACCAAGGCAACACCTGTCTGTCTGTCCCTTATGGTGCTCAGCAGAGTGTCTGGCAGAGAGGGTTGAATATAGTACCATTCATTTAACCCTCACTACAATGCTATCAAGAAGACAAGGGCTACCACTTCCCACAGATAATAAACGGACGCTCAGGGAGGTGAGGATGCCATCCAAGGACACACAGCTGATAAGGAACAGCTGGGATTCAGACCAGGTCCCCACCACTGCATCCCTGCATCTCTGAAGATAAACAGGCCATGACTTTTCCATTGGACCCCTGGAGCTGACCAGGTAGCCTGAAAAAAAAGAGACTGGCCTGAAAAAAGAGACCTCATGTCCTTGAGATGGTCCAGGATCCCAAATAAAGTGGTGAGCACTTGAGACTGTGACCGGAACTTCTCAGCCAAGAGCCACCCACCCAGAGATTCCACTGACTCAAAGGCTTAGATGGGACAAACACTTGGGTGGTGGCTGGGAGTGGGACAATGCAGCACCCTCGAGCTCAGAGCCTTTCAAGTAGGACATTCCAACCTAGTGTGCTTTCTAAGACCCCTCGGAGCAGGGGTTTCAACCAGCCACCGAAAGCACAGGATCCAACTAGGAGCTGCAGCACGGGGAGGACACCATCTAAATCCCCTGCCAGCTTGGGCCACTCTGATCTCAGCTCTGGTCCAGATGACTTCCTCCTCTCAGAACTGTCCCCTGTGGTGAGGGCCCCGTTCCCTGCGCAGGCTGGGCCTGGAGCTGGCCCAGAAGGGAGGGACACTTCAGACAGAACTCAGGACAGAAGAGCCGAGGCAGCTGGCCTGGCAGAGGGCTAACAGATGGCAGGAAAACAGAACTGCAGGCTCCACTGTACCCAAGCGGAGACATGCCCCTTACCTCCCAGCTGCCGAGGCACGACATCCACTACCACTGAGGTGACCTTGGTATACCAATCATACTGCAAGAGAACACACTGGTCAGGCCTACCAGGGGACTGGCGGTGTCCTGGGGGCACAGAGCTCTGTATCCATCTTCTTCTCTGACAGCCCTGGAGAGCCTCAGAGGAGGGGAGGACGTGAGGCAAGCCTGACGTATTTCCTTTCTGATGACCTGGACAGATGTCTGAAGGGGCCTGTGACTCCCAAGGAGCTCTTCCTGGGCAAGGACCAATGCTCTTGTGACTGCCGGCTATATCCCACCCCACGTAGAGCCTGACCACGGGCAGGTGAGAAGCAAAGAGAGCTCCCATCCACCATCCCTTCCTTGGGCTGACCACTCCGCGCCTTCCTCCAGCTCACCAGACACAGCTGGCTACACTGATGATGGGGGACCAGAGACGGGTACCGCAGGTAGACGATGCGACACTGGTCTGGGCTCAGGCGGGGAGAAGACACAGCCAGAGAGTCATCTGAGAGAAGCTCTAGACCAGACGAAAATGTGAGCACCGTGCAGGCTAGCAGGGCCAGCATATGTCAGCAAAGCACAGGGGGCCACCAGCACTTACCACACTGACCGCCAGTGAGGTCCACGTAGTACAGGGCTGACCTGGAACCACCAGAGAGACACTCAGCTTCAGAGCCAGCTGGAGCTGCAAGGCCCCCTCCCCGGCCCCACCCTGCTTCCTCACCTGCGATTGCTGCAGAAGCGGATGCCCAGCCGGAAGGGCTCATGCCACCAGCCTACAAACACCACGCCTGTGTCTCCAGGGGCCCAGAATGCCTATAACCAAAACCCCGGAGCAAGGGTGAACAAGGGGCAGCAGCTCAAGCTGGGCTCCCAGACTCCAGGAGTGAGGCAGGCTGAGTCAGTGCTAACCTGTCCAGGGGACACATTGTCAGGGACCCCCTCAAGCACAGAGATGTTGCCGCTCTCGATGTCCAGCACGCAGAGCACAGGAGTGCTTTTGGAAACCATGTTTTCTCCCCAGTCTTCATAAAACACAAACTGATCCCCCTAAGAATACAAGATACTCAGTGTCCAGCCTGTCTTACCTCCCCAGTTCTGACAGTCACGATATGGGCAAGGAGCCCTGAGGCCTAGGCTGCCCAGGAGGGGCTTCATGGACTGGCCATAAACATTAGCACCTTGACGGCCTGGTCTGGTTTCTTCGGCCTGGTCATCTCATCATCACTGCCGCTGATGTCCAAGGCTTTTGTCTGAAAGAAGGACTCAGCCTTTGGGCGCCTCTTCTCTGCCACATACAACAAGTGTGTCTCCGAGTGCGACCAGGACAAGCAGCCAAAGCAGTCTGGGTGTAAGGAAGGCTGATCAGGGGGAGCCCTGGGCTCCGGCTGCCCCTCCTGTCCACCCTGTCTGCTCACCAGCCAGCTGCCTACCATCCTCGTATACAAGCCCATGTTTCTCCAGCACCGACAGGTTGAAGCTCTTGAGCTTCCGGTTCTTCTCCCACACCTGAGGACATCTGGGCATCAGGTTACCTGCCCCCCAACAGAGCCTCATCTGTGGGACAGAGCCCCCAGTCACCCATCGCCTGCCCATGCAGACTCACCTCCAGGAACTGCTTCTCCTCCCCAGGGCTCGTGCCTCCAGCTTTGCGCAGCACAGCTTTCATGGTGCCTGAAGGAGAGTCTCTGCTCAGCAGCCTGAGGAGGACATGGGGTAGCAGGTCATGGTCATAACCCACAGTCCCATCCTACCTCCTTCCTGGCCGCAACCTCCTAGACAAGATTCTTGAGACTGGTCCACATCTGCCCCTGCAGCCCCTGTAGCTCCGTTACAGCAGCTGGCCTTGCCTCTCCTGCCTGGGGAAAAGGCTCTACTCTCCCCAGCCTTCCTGAAGCTCCACAGGCTCTAGTCCACGCCCAAGTTTGGACAAAGCCTCCAGTGCTTATCAGGCCATGTCTATAGAGAACACATGAGCTCCCAAGGGGCAAGAACCTGGCTCCTGGCCTCCCTTCAGGGCCCTACCTGCACCAAGGCACATGGCAAGGCTTCATAAAAGGCTTGCAGACAGCTGTGGCCTTGCCCACAAGCTTCTTCCCTCAAACTTACTCCCCCCGGGTCTCCACACTGTTGCCCGCAGGCCCTGAGAACACCACTGAGTCCCCATCATGGAACACCAGGTACTGGCGGCAGAATCGAATGTTCTCCATGCGTTCCAGGTCCCTCTGGGTCCACTCTGTGAGGAGAGGCATGAGACTTAATTTGAGTTGACCAGTACCAGCACAGGCTCCTCTCAGCCCCTCAAAAGGAAGGCCCAGCCCACCTCCGCAGTCTGTCTTGATATTCTGGAAGCAGGATGGACAACACTTAGTCACAACTCAAGTCTAGGCCTGAGCTGATGGCATGTCAGAGAGAAACTACTACTCTGCTCCCAGCACCCACCCCCATCCTAGAACTTGAGGGGAGCCAGGCACCTGTAGGGGATACGGTGAGGGAAGAGCCTACAAGGCCCACGCCGTGTATCCCAGTCTGAATTCTACTCCCACATCCTCAACTCGTGCACTCAAGGGCATCAAGCCACAGCGCACCGAGCAGCGTCCCCCATACACCTGTACAGGGTCCACTGAGGGGTGCACCTTCCCACACCACTTTCTCCAAGCCCCGTCCTCCTCCACACACTCGGGCGCACTGTCAAGCAGCAAGCCCTCCACATCTCCCTCCTCTCCACGCGTGCGCACGGCTCCGGAACGGGTCCGCCCCTCGATTCCCCTCCATCCACACACCGGTGTGCACCGTCCGGTAGCGGCCCCCGTACTGCGTGATGACATCCGGGCCCAGGCAGGCGGCGCTCAGCGTGGGCTGGCGGCTAAGGCCCCGGTACAGCGCCGCCGCCTCCTCGGGCTCATTCAGCAGCACCTGCGCAGGGGACACACCAGGGTCAGGCCCGGCCCGGGCTGCAAGGACCACGGGCACCGCGGGCCGAGCCCTCACCTGGCGCTCCATGGTACCTCTCGGCCGCCGGGGCGGGGCGGCGCGGGCTGGCGCCCGGAAGTGAGGCTCTGGGGGGAGGAGCCAGGAGCGGCCCACCTCCCCCCGCCCTTCGCGTCAGCCGCAGCCTCGCCGCGCCGCGGGAGGGGCGGGAGCTTCGACGAATGGGCAAGGACCCTAAGCGGAGGGGCGGGACCTCGAGGGCGAGGAGGTGGGGCCTGTGAGGGAGCGATCAGAGTTTGGACCCGGAAGTCCAGGAGCCTTGGGGTCAGGGACCTCGAGGGGAGGAATAGGCCTCTTCCGGGAGGACTGGCTGGTCAGAGGGCAAGTCCCAGGCCTGGTGCTGGGAGGAGAGGCCGTAGGGTGTCCGAGGAGAGAGGCTGGTTCTAGGAAACGGAATACAGGATCGGTCTCTGGGCTGCGCGAGGCCTGTGACCGATGACGTGGCCCGCGTGGGGAGGAGGCGAGGCCTGAGACGGGACTAGCCAGTGAAGTGAAAAGCTAGGTCGGACGGGAATGGACTCTAAGAAGGACGCGGCCTGGGAGGGGGCAGATCAATGGATCTTTGAATATAGGGGCGGGGTGGGGCGGGGACGGAGCCCAGTGAGGGTAGTTAAGAGGAAACGGCGATGAGGGCGTGGCCCAGAAAGACGGGGTAGGAGCCGAAGCTTGCCCCAACAGGCATCACCCGCAGACCTGCGGCTGACCCGTTGGCTCCCTTCTTGTCCATTACGAGGCATACATCCACCAGGAGGTGCCAGTCCCTGCCCTGGAGGGGCTCCGAGGCAGATGGGAAGAGGAGCGCAGAGCCCTGGGTTGCTGGGCAAAGATGGGCGGATGCTGCGCTCTGAGGGTGTTGCCTGGGCTTATCGGCCACCAGGCCTACCCCAAGAGCTATCTGACCCTGCAGCCCTCAACTGCCCTCTTCAGTGGCACCTTGCTGGGGATCGTAAGCGGGTAGGTTTCTGCTTGCCTCTCCAGGCCTCGTCCAAAGCTCTTGCGTGCAGAGGGCCTGACAGGGGGTCAGGCTCTACTAGAATCAAAGAGCTTCCTGTGGACAGGAGAACCTGGGCAGGCAGGCAGACTCCCTAGGTGTCCCACAGTGGCACAGAACTGAGTGGCTGTGATGGCAGGGAAGGGCAGGAGAAACTAGGCACCAGTCAGGGTAGCAGGGGTATCCCTTACTTCATAGACCCAGAGCCTGGCTGGTCTTCCACACCTGTCTGACCTGAGCAGAAAGGGTGACCACAGCCACCAATCTGAGCAAAAAGGTTGGAAACTAAGATATCACAGCATTGCATATTGTATTAAGGAAAACCAGGACCATGGTGCTCGGCCTTCAGTGTGTGTACTGTAGACTGGCTATAAACTTATCGTGCAGCTGCCTGGAAGCCACATATTGGAGGATAAACACCTAATTACGTGGGATGAACATGTAGAAATAAACAGGAGGCTAGGAAACAGAGGGTACTTCACCTTCTGACTTCTGTTTAAAATGAAAAAGGAATGGGGCGCCTGGGTGGCTCAGTGGGTTAAAGCCTCTGCCTTCGGCTCGGGTCATGATCCCAGGGTCCTGGGATCGAGCCCTGCATCGGGATCTCTGCTCAGCGGGAAGCCTGCTTCCTCCTCTCTGCCTGCCTCTCTGCCTACTTGCGATCTCTGTCAAATAAATAAATAAAATCTTAAAAAAAAATAAAATGAAAAAGGAAAATACAGGAAGGAAGGCCCTACGTCAAGATACGAACTCTGGAGGAACGTCAGCGGTGAAGCTGATACTCTTTCCTTTATCTGCATCTTAAAAATCTTCTGGCAGCTCTGGGTTACTTTGGTAAGGAGGTTCTCCTATCCTTTTGGGGAGCGACTAAGGTCTGGCAGCCTCCCAAGAGTTCACGGATTGAAGTAGACACAGCCGGGTAGACAGGTGTAGTGTTTGTGGAAAGCACCAGGGGGCAGCACCTGCTCACTGGCTCACCAGGAAGCAGGCCCCAGAAAGCTGTTCCGTTTGGACACCGGCCTTGGAGGCAACATCTCCTCCCTCCAGGTCCAAACTTGGGACCTGCCCCGGGCCTCTTTGTGGAGGGCCCATTGATTTTGGCCGGCTTGGTATAGACACAGCCACGGCACTTCCATGACTTGGCCCTTTCACTCTCCCTCTAACTGAACAGACAGGATTATCCCAAGTTTGGGGATTTGCTCCTTGGGCTAAGCTTTCAATGGCAGAAACCATCCCAGAGACAGTCTTTAGGTTGTTTATATCAAGTCCTTTTATTCTGATACCACAGAATTACCTTGTCACAATACAGGGGGAGGGACACCGAAGTACCACGAGTTCTCACAGAGCACAGGAGGACGGCACACAATTCACAAGGTCATGTGGAGGACTCGGGTCATTGCACTTACAACTGTAAACTTGTTTGTTTGACTTTGTACAGCACTCTTCCCCCCTCAGATAAAGGAGAGAAGGAAAGAAAGGGAGGGAGTGAGTGAGGAGAAAGCAAAACAAGACATGGAAGCTAGCAGAGGAAAGGCGTTGGGCAGCCGCCACTCTCCAGGGCACTGGGCTTGGAGAGCGGGAGCCAGTTTGATCCCAGAGGCTGAATGAGGCAGACACGCACACACATACACATTCACACGCTTGTTCACATGCATACACACACAGTATCTCACGATTTCCATGGCTCTCCAGCGCCACCCCAGTGCACGTGGGTACCCAGGGAGACAGAGATGATGTCTCTGAGGAGTTTCAGTTGGTCAGGCCTATCCCTCTGACCCTGTCGGAGTCCACGATGACAAGTATTTACAGAATGGGAGAGGGTGGCAGGAGGGCGGGGGAAGGGCCAAGAGGCCAGGGCCATGCTCCCATGGCAAAGTAACTGCCTGGAAAACGCCCCACAGGCTCCAGAAGACAGGCCGTAGTTACTGCCACCACTGCCCTCTCATCATGGGCCCTGAGACTGCATTCTCTTCCCAAGGACTAAGTGAGTGGGTGGGAGGGGGGGTGTCGCTGTGAAGTGAGTGCATTGGGCCCTAGAGTGAGCCGAAACCCTTGCTCATGACACTGGGTAGGCAGGTGTGGAGAAGGCCTAGACTGCATCCCAGATGCTCTTTGCCCACTTGGAGATGTGCTCGATGCTCTCCACCACCCAAGGCACCCAGTGCTGGTCCCTCAGGCTCTGGCTGCCGTGCCCCAGAGCCACGGCAGCATCTGCACAAAGGTCAGGACACCTGTGACACGGAGAGGCCTACTCCAGCCACCTTCACGTGGGGTGATGGCTACAGATGTGTCCTGTGGGTAGCTTGGGGAGTAGGGAGTGGCAGATGTCAGAAAGTTCAAAATCAGAGGGCTTGGTCAGAAAGGAAATTCGAGAAAAAGTCAACGTTTTAGAGCCTGAGACTGGGCCTGATAGAGGTGGACACTGCTGCCTTCTCCCTGCCTGCTCGCTGTTCCTGGTCCCATCTCCTGGCCTTTCATGGGAAGGATTACTGCCTTGGTCCCCCCTGTATCCAGCCACCAGGCCCATCCCCACACAGACCTGGCCCTGGGTAGTCAGAGGTGATGGATAGTGGCCTCCCTTAGCCCTTGCTCAGAAGGGTTCTTACAGCCCAGGCCTGATCTCTGGGATGAGGCAGGTGTCCCGGGGAATGGGTGAAGCCCAAATCCAGGAGGTCACAGGCCCAAAACAAGTCGACACCCTCCCTGTCCCATCCACAGCTGCCAGAGGTGGGCCAGGATCCCCCTCTGAAGGGCTGTGTAGACCTTATTGGAAAGCATGAGAAATGTGGACCCCTGAGAAATGCATGGTGCAAACCAGAGCGAACTGGAGTAAGGCCAGGCCTCGAGGGGTCGGGTAGTCACTGCCTGCTGCACGGCCGGCTCAGTCAGAGAGAAGCTGGTGGGGGCGGGGGGGGGATACCTGGGTTTCAGGGACAAGGGTGGGCAGGGAGTTTAGGTCCTGGGGACAGATGGAAAAAAGGTCACAACAGAACCTTCTGTGAGTTTTGCTGTTGAGAAGCTTCCCAAGAAACTCAGCTTGAAGCTACTGTCTATGGGAACACCTGCTCTGGTCCAAGATGGCGTTGTCAGCTGTCCTCGCCGCAAGTGCCAGAGGTCTAG